GCGGGATGAAACGATGACAAGAGCTCCGATAAGAATTTAATTCCATCTCATTTCAGACGATTTTATGAATCAAATTCTTGAACACTGGCAAGAGATTTAATGATCACATCTTTGCGAAATCTTATTTCAGAAGCGGTCGATGGCATTTCTCTGCGTTAATGTCGACTTAGAGGTTGGAGTAATTTAGTAATTGATTCCTTGCCTGGCTCTCGCCCGTGCCAAGGCCGCGTTTGAGGGTAATATGTTTCCTAATCTTATCCCCCGGAATAAGATTTTTATGTTAATCCACTGGCTGGTCTCCTGGTCACTTGGGAAGCGCAGATAAAGGCTCAGAGGGGCCGGAGAGGCCAGGAGAGAGGAGCCGTGCTGTGCAGGAGCTGGCTGCAGCATCTGGAAAAACAACGGGACGAGTTAATGGGAGATAAACAGAGAAACATAACAAAACAACACAACTTGTGGTGAATGAGAATGAAAGATTTACCTGCTTCCTCGTGTAGAATCTGTAAATGATTCACTTTATTTCTACATAGGCTGAATATAAGGTTGATAAACTGCCCCCCTGCACCCATGGTTTCATATGCAGCTGTGCTTAACCCCATGTATTGTCATTTTAACATTTATCATGAGTTATAAATATAAATCTAAAAGAAACAGCCTAGAGTTAATGCATAAAAGATCAAATCTAGGTTTATTCTTCTCTACATCCCTGCAGACCGCCGTCACTCACGCGCCCACACATTTGTGCCAAAGACTCATCAGGTGAAAATGCGGCAGAAAACACCGTCTAATAACAATAACAACATGACTGAGGCTGTCTGCACGCGGCAGCCTCAAACACTGACGTCTTTTGTGCTGCACGTTTTTTTTTCTTCCTTCAGACACAGAGAGAAGACACCAGCTTCTAATTGAATTTCGTCTCTTCTCCAGATGTCACTTTCCATCTGTGTGCTTGGAAACGCGATGCGCCTGTTTACGCCCCGACCTGAAACACCTTAAAGCCTGATGTTTTTTTTTTGCAGTGTCTAACAGGAAAAAAAAACTAAATATAAAAACGGGTTATGATTTAGTGTTTTGGATGAAAACTGGATGGTTATTGTGGGAACAGGAAGTCATTCTTTTCCACCTCTTCTCACGTATTTTGCAGGTGAAGGCGCGAACCTCGCCTTTTATCCATCCCGTCAAATTGAGACATCACACTAAATTGCCACGAGAGCATCCTCAAAATGATTTTTTTTTTTTTATCTGCTCGCGAGCCCCTCCCCTGCAACACGCGGCCTTATTAATAACCGTTTTGATAAGCGTAGGATTTCCTCGGGCGGAGGAGTGAGACATTGTCGGTGAAATGTGACAGCGGGACCCTCCCATCGCTCTCTCTCTCTTTATCCTCCTCTGTTCCTTTGCCTTTTCGGGGGAGTGGATCCATCCAATCCATCCAGAGACAATGGCATTTTGTTCCTCTTTTTGTCCCTCCTGTCGACCCGCATTCCTATATTGCTGAGCAACGATAGTGCGCACTAAATGGAGAGGAGTTGCTCCCATATCCCGGCTATTGTCCGGCACTTGCCGGGGGAATTTAGGGTCTTGCACACATCGCATTTTGCTGATTTATTTAAGTGAAGGCAGACGGTTAAAGCTCTTTATTTGCCTCATAATTAGGAATTAACTACCGCTTTACTTGAAGTAAAGGATCATTATGATAATGTAAATCACTGTTTTCACGCAAGGTGCTTCATATAAATGCGCGCCAACCTGCAGCCACCAGGCCTCTATCTGCACATTAACTGGCTGCACATTTTGCATCTTGCAAAAGATTTAAAAAAAAAAAAAAAAAAAAAAATCTTTAAATCAGCTCAGACTACTGAGTTCCGCCTTTCGGATTTGATATTCTCACATCAAAACATCATCCCGTGCTCTGCTCACCCGAACCAGCTGAAAGAATTAAAAGATGTTGAAACTATAAAGGAGGAGGCGTTTCAATAGCTGGTGGACTGTGGTGGAGGGACTATAGAGCGTTAGAATAAAGAGCGGCTGCAGTGAAAGAAACCGATGGCTAAAAGCTATAATTGTATTTGCCTCGGCGAAATATCAGAAAAGACTTCTCGTTTCTTTGAGCATTATTAGATTAATTCGCAGAGATGGTTTCTTTTCTCGCTGCCAGACGCGTGGAGGGAGGACGGTGAACCATTTGGCTCTTTGGTTTCAATAATCAAATTAACCATTTGGTACAACTTTTGGGTCCCAGCTCGTGTGTGGAAAAGGGGAAAATAAAAAAAGAAAACATTTACATAATAGGGACCGCGGGTTGTGTCAAGAAAGAATTAACTTTTCTTTTTTTTTTTTTTTACTCGGGTTGAATCTCTGAAAAGACAATGTACACACGGAAGAAAGGGGAGAAACACACTGCAGCGCGTCAGCAATTGTGTGGAAAAATAATTGATGGCAAATGTGAGCGGGTCTTCTCTATTTTAACACATAATATGGGCGCTGCACCGTGTGGCCTGAAGCCTTATGGACAAAATGTCTGATTTATAAAAGCGTTTGGTGCCATATTCAATTTTTAAATCTCCTTCTTTATTAGGCCTTTAGCAGCAGGTGCAGCCTTTTGAGTCTGGAGAAAATTTATCCTGAAATTAAAATCCATTTGCGCCAGAATCATCTTTTCTAAGAAAAAGATTTTAAAACTAAAATTGTAGACCTCACACACTGACCTGCGTGGATTATCGCTGTTATTATTAATATTATTAGTTTTTAAATATCTGCCTTCAGTCTCGATTTTAAGATATCAATTATTTTTTTTTATATATATTTTTTTTTAATTATGATGAAAAATAAGATCAATACTGTGAAAGACAAAATCAAATTAAATAACTCTGAGTCAAAGCAAAAGATCTATAATAATTCTATAATAAATAGTATTAGGTTGCGAGACAAACGTTTATAATAGTGTCCAAACTGGCACCAGAGCCACGCGTGAGAAAAACTCTGATCTAAACCAAGTGTGGAGCATCTCTCAGTCCCTGTAGGATTTTATTATAGGAGAATATTATAGGGATTTTTGGATGTAGGGCCTCAGAAGAAGAACATCAGCACACAGATCAATCACTGGTGAAGAAAGTCAAACATCAAACACTCATCTACTAAACTGAATTGATGCGCCATCATTGCTGTTGCGCCTTTTCGTGTGTTTCGTGTAATTTGGGAGAGAGAGAGAGAGAGAGAGAGAGAGAGAGAGAGAGAGAGAGAGAGAACCCGCAGCTTCAAACGAGGACTTGAACTCGGTCCAATGAAAAAAAAAAGAAGAGGAGAAACGCACCGAGTGTGTGTGCGCCATACAAAACGGTTCACCTTATTACACAAACCAAATTAACCACTCAGCCAATATTGTGAGCCTAAGAGGTCCGATGACTGCCGCGCCAGTTCGTTACTTTCATTAGAAAGATGTTATTTGCCAAATAAACGGAATAATGAAAGTAATAAAGACAATTACAAACTCATTTGAATCATAAAAACACACCCGGAAGTTTAGCAGAGATTATGCTGCAGCAGAGCAGGGGAAGAATTAGGAAAACGTGTGTATTTGGCGAAAAAAAGGGCAACTAATATGATCAGAAGGAAGCCGCTAAATGTGTTTATTACTGTGAGTAAATTGCAAGATTGAATGTCCCGGGCTTTTAAATCATTGAGACAATTTCACTTTCACTTCAGTTTCAGCTGCTTCGTCATAATGAACCAGAAATGATAATATCCTGATTTAAAACTCTGCTAATTAAAAACAAAGAAGTAATAACCGGTGCAGTTTATGGGGGGATAAAACAAAAAAAAAGAAATCAAAACAAACGCGGTGTTTCGGGTATGGATGTGGTTGGTGTGCAGACACTGGGGGAAATACACCTGAACACCTGAACTTATCTGCACATTCAGTGTTAAAATTATATTTTTCTAAAACAGGAAAGGGTGAAAAATCAGCCAGTGATGAGAAATAATTCACCTGACTGCATGTTTGTTTGTTTCGGGGGTTTTTTTTCTCGCAAGTCTTCCCTGAGAGGAGGCAGAAAAACGCGGGTCACACTTGGTGTTTTTTTTTAATTTGTTTTGTAAACCAGTTCAACTTGATTGTGGTGTAACTCTTGTTGCACAATTTGCTTTGTGCAAAAACATGATTTTAAATATCTAAAAGACAAAATAGGTCGTTATCACTGGGTAGAAAAATGTTCGTGTTTTGCTGCCTCGGTGCGTGGAGGAGAGGAGAGTGGAAAGCAGAGTGAAAACAGTCGGAGCAGACGGGCAGAAAGAAGAGGCAGAGGGGGAATACTATGTGAAATCCTGCCCAAGGTATACGGTCGCTTAAAAGGCTTAAAAGCTTGGAGAAAATTGGATCAGGGAGAATCGTCACCCAACTTTCATTATTTCCAAGTGGTGTGATTGAATTAAAGGGCAAGATGGTGGTTGGAGAGGAGTGGGGTGGATGGGTAGAGGGGTGGAGGGGAGGCGGCGGCGGCGGTGGAGGGGTGCGTAATGGCGTGGTATTAAATTCTAATTAGAGATGCAGGGGATCAATGATAGGGAGGTTGGACAGCCCGGGCCCCCAGTGCCAGCCCAATAGACTGATGAGTTATTGTCATGTAAAAAAGCGCTAGCAATAAGACCAAACGCTTTGCTATTGTCCAAGCGGAAAGAGCCAAGTTTATTATGAGGACTATATGCTCTAGAGACCTCGGGCTAGGCGGCTCTTAGGGGGCTTTTCATAAAACAGGGCTAGGTTCCTATAAAGGAGGCCAGTTTTGGAGCAGGCGCTGAGCAGTGAACATCTACCCACCGTCCAGCCTCCTTCCAACCAGTTCAAACCAAACAAGTCATCTTTCCCCCCCATCTCAGACCGCGCGTCCTCCTCATTTTTGGTTTTTTATTATTTTTTTCTTTCAAACCCAATTTTTTGGGTGTTTTTTGTTTGACATTTTTCCCTGGAAGTGCAGCTTTCTAACTCCACCGAGCTTTCTCAAATGTATAAAATGGAGTATTCTTACCTAAATTCCTCTGCCTACGAGTCATGTATGGCCGGGATGGACACGTCGAGCTTGGCATCGGCCTATGCGGACTTCAGTTCGTGCAGTCAAGCCAGTGGGTTTCAGTACAATCCCATCAGGACCACTTTCGGGGCCACCTCCGGCTGTCCGTCCCTCACGCCGGGGTCCTGCAGCCTGGGGACCCTGCGGGACCACCAGAGCAGCCCGTACGCCGCAGGTAAGCAGCGGCTCCGGAGCCTCAACCCGGCGTATTATAGGACGCCTTGATTGCATTTGAAAATGGAAATGTGTTTAGTATTTACCAAACGAAATTTGCTTACACAAATGAAAGAATTTATCACGTTAGAAGCGATTGCAGGCAAGCGGTAATTCGGTTACGGGGTTATACTATCCCAGTCACACCCAAAACCGCCAACAGAATTATCTTAAGCTGCCAAAATGATAGGCATAATTTATTTACTTTGCGATGAGACATAAAGCTTCGAAAATAATTAGATAACCAAAGACTAAAGCTCATTATTGACACCGAATTGGAGTTACAGTAGCAACAAGCGGGGCGGATGGGAACATTATGACAAGTTTTCAAACTTGAGCCTCAATCTGAGGAGCAACAATTAGTTTAACATTACAATTAACCACATCACAGGTCAGCAACGTTATCAATTCAGAACTAATTCACAGGTAATCAAAGGCATAATGCGATTGAAAGCTTCAGCTCCTTCGTCCTTAACCGGATTTTATACAAAATATCGAATTTGAATTTACTTCCATTTGACAACATCACAATTACACACGCTCCTATGTCTCCCTATTTCTGCACTGATAAGACCACCGCAGCTCTAACGGTGACATTTCATTTCCTTTTACAGTTCCTTACAAACTCTTCACGGATCACGGCGGACTGAACGAGAAGAGGAAGCAGAGGCGCATCCGGACCACGTTCACCAGCGCCCAGCTGAAGGAGCTGGAGCGGGTTTTCGCTGAGACTCACTACCCGGACATCTACACCAGAGAGGAGCTAGCACTCAAAATCGATCTGACTGAAGCCAGAGTGCAGGTACGAGGAGCCACCGGCTCTCTCAACAGGCGCCAACCTGCTCCTGTTACGCACAATTACGCACAATTACGCACGGGTGGATTTATTATGCAAATAAGAAACTCTTTTTAAAAGCTTTAAACACAATCACTCATTTTTAACAGATTTTAGTGAAATAAAAGCTTTACTGGTTTCACGTGATGAGCTACTGGCCTCCACGTGCTGGCATCATTTCATACTGTGAAGGACTAATGCGCAAAATAAAGAGTTTGCGCATTTCTTTGGGGACATTTTCAGATATTCGAACCACCAAACACATTTATAAGCAAAATGATTCAATAATTCGCATCGACTCTGCCAAAGAGCCACTTTGGTGATTCCATACACAGTGGTTTAACCCTCTCTCTGTTTCCCAGGTGTGGTTTCAAAACCGGCGTGCCAAGTTCCGCAAGCAGGAGCGGGCAGCTGCAGCGGCCGCAGCGGCTGCCAAGTCCAGTTCCGGAAAGAAGTCCGACTCCAGAGACGAAGACAGCAAAGACACCAAATCCACTGACCCCGACAGCACAGGGGGGCCGGGCCCGAACCCGGTGCCCACCTCCAACTGCGGCGGACCGAGCCCCACCGGAGGCCAGGTCAACAACACCGGGAACGGACAGGTGGACCAAGTGAAGACCTCCGTGTCCACCGGCATGGGGGTGACAGCACCGAGCCAAGGCTGGGCCACCGCTCCGGGGACCATCACCTCTATCCCGGACTCACTGGGCGGGCCGTTCGCCAGCGTACTGTCGTCTTTGCAAAGACAGAACGGAGCCAAAGCTACATTAGTAAAGACCAGCATGTTCTAATGAAGCTGTGCAGCGGGGGGAGAGACACGGAGCAGAGGGAAAGAGAAGAGTTTCCTCCCTCTCCGGAGACTGAAAAGCAATTGCTCAAGACAGACTCACGGACAATAATAAGCAGTTAAAAAGAAGATGACAACTCTGTTATTTTATTTTTATGCCTTGCGCCGTTTCTCGTTGACTCCTTTGCTGTAAAAATATCCACCTTGACAAGTCATATTGTCTTATAATAACATTGTTTTTTTTTTACAAGTGCAAGTTTCCAGTCTTATTTAGGACGAAATATCCTGAAATAAAGCAGAATAAGATATTTTACTGTACTAATATCAACAAAATGAAACATCTGTTGAGGTTATTCATGGATACACACATGCAAGATTACGCATCTCATCCCAAATCAAAATGTCCTTCGTGTTTTAAGAAAAAGAAAAAGAAAAACTCAACATGTTTAAGACTGAATACTGGTGAAGTGACTTGTTCAGATGAATATTTTTTGGCCAAGTTTAAGAGCGAACACAGACGTCTGCGCACTGGAAACGCGTATCGTGCCATCAGAGAGCAACGTGTCAGAGTTCAACAGCTGCTTTGTTTGGTCAGAGAGACGTTCAGACTGAGGATGCTCTCTCACAAACCCACGCCCTCGAAAACAACAACAAACAACAAACAACAACAACAACAACAACATCAACAACAACAACAACTATCCAACAAGACGCTGACACCATTTTGCTTTTCTGTTCTCCGTAAAGACACGACGTGCTGTGCGGAAACAGCCTCTTACAGCTGCGGGTTTGTTTCGTTTCCAGGGCTGCTGAGAGTTTAGTTTCTTTAAATTATCGATATAAACACAACTATTTCCTCGAGAGAGAAAAAAAAAGGCACAAACTACTGCAATGTTCACCTCTGACAGGAAATCTGTATGTTTTGTGTGTCTTTCTACGGCAGTGTTTTTGTGGCTCAAATTGTATAGTGTTAATACGTACTATTGTCTCCTATAGTTGAACCATAGGCCATACTCCCTCGTAGATCGATCATACAAGTCTTTTTGATGTTTTACAAAAATTTCCCTTGGAAGAATTTATTTTGGGTAAAAAAAGGGAATGGATGCAAACATTGTATTTATTTCTATATAATTTGCATGTTGTCTCTTTGTCTGATTTTCCAATGATTTCCCTCCCATTTTGTGAGCATTATGTAACATGTTTTGTCCAGGATCTGAAAGTTATTTATATGTAGGTAATGAATGCTTATATTTAAGAAGGAAATATTTCTACATGTGCACATAGTTTTCCAGGTGTACCATTGAAATGGTTGTTGATGAAATAAAAAAAAAAAAAAAAAAAAAAATAGTCCAAGTTGTTTTTGTCATGTTTTCTTTGGACAAACTGTGGATAGAACTACAAGCTTATTGGTTATAATATAAAAACAGGTTTGCATTTTCTATCCTTATACCATTTCTGTATTTTCTTGCTCATGAATTCAAAGGTTGTTCGGTCACGGTCGTTCGAAAAGGGCCGAGGGTTCAGCACCACGGACAGCACCGCGCCGCCTCACCACTCATCCGGTCTTCAAGATTTATTTTTACTAAACAAAAGGGGGGGAATATTTGCCTTTAGATTCACAGAATTGCACGAATTATTCCAGTATATGCATATGTGAGTGTCAGTCTCCTAAAGTAAGATACAGTGTGAAAAAGTTCCTTGACACCGAGAGAAGTCACTTAATTTGAAAGAAGAAAAACCGAGAAAAATGGAAACCAAGTTGAGCTGAAAGGAAACGGCAGAACTTGACACCAGTAATCATATATATTAAAACTTAAAAATCTATTTTAAAAGCTCAGTGATGGATTGATAACATTTTCTTTAGATATAAATATTGAATTAGATGTTATGAAAATGTGCACCGCGTCACGTTGTGACACACTTGGAGAATCAACTTCAAGGAAAAGACTCGCATGTCACAGTCACATCAACATTCATGAGACTGATGTTCCTCTGAGGTCACAGTTTGTGACCCAGTCTGAAATCGAGTAATTAATTGTGTTGATTGATCACAGATATCAGATTGATCAATTTGGAATCAGGAGTTAATTTATTGTTGGGACTAAATCTCTGTGACTTGTTGGTTATTTTTAGTTACCGTGTTGCCAAGAATGGTCCATAAATAAGTGACAATAATAATACAGTGGTTAGTTGTGTCTGTCCATAGGCCACATTAAGTCATATTAGAAACACATTTTGGCAGGTTTATTGCTTTTCTTATTGTTTAATTTTGTATTATTGATTTTCCAACCTCATTGATGGATTCAATTAAAGAGAAGAAACCAGGCAGCAGCTGAAGGGGAAACAAACTTCAAACAAAGCACAGGTTTGTAAAAAAGACCTGACTGTTTCCTCTTTCACACACCTGCAGTGTGTTGAAGCCGGTGGCAAGAGTTCAACTACATATTTTAAGTATTTATTTGCTGCCTTTCTTTGTTTTATTTAAATATTTGTGGAAATTCATGTTTTTTTTTGGTTTTTTTAGCATTGTTGCAAAATTAAAAGACAGACGCAGATTTTTAATTTATAACATTTTATTTATAAACATACAGTATGCTATAAATGCCATTGCATTTAAACATCAAATTAATCTATATTTCGGATAGTGTTCAGGTGAATATTACAATAAATACAGAACAGACGTAAAGGTTTTCATTCCCCAACTATCCTGTGAAAGAAGACCGTCTGGATACAGAGCTCCGTCTCAAAGATCCCGCTATAAGAGACTCAGCCGAGATTTATTCATTAACTAAATGAGGATAAAAAATAAAATACACAATCGGAACAGAAGCTTAAAAATACTGGAGATCAGAGAGATGAACCCGGAGGAGAAGCTTGGCTATAGGACGCAGTTCAGGAGGAGGAAGAGGAAGAGGAAGAGGAAGAGGAGGAGGCTGCTAGTTTGCTTTCATACAGCAAATCATTTGGTTTTAGGCTTAAACGTGCATTTTTTTGTTTGTTTTTTTTGTTTTTAAAACATCCACAATACATAACCGAGCTCTTCTCATACAAGTTCATAAAAAGAAAAGAAGCAAGTGACTTAAAATGTCCAGCTGGCGGCACAGATCTTTAGTTTTCATCCAACCAAATATTGCACAGGTGCAACTGCTGCTGGTATGTGTGTTCATATTACCTCTGCTGTTTAACTAGATGTAACATGTACTGCTGATTTTTATGTTTTTATTTTATTTTTTTTCATTTTTATTTTATAAATGAACCCTACCACTGAGCAATTATCAAAATTACCTCAATTAATAGCATACAGAAGTCTATATCGCTCTAGAGTAAAACATTCAAAGTTCAATCAATGGTTTCCCCTGCAGTGTATATATACTCTATACTGTGTATTCTTCCAGATAGACAACACGTGTGTTCCTTTCTTTGCACTGGGTTTATCACTGCAAATCACAGAGGAATCACAGGGGAGAAATGTGAAATCAAAGGTTGTTGTTCATGTGAAAATAAAACTGTACTTATCAACTGAAGTAAAGCGTGATGTAAGGGAGGGCTGCAGCCCGACTGTCTGCAGTTCTACGAGTTCAAATTTGGCCAAATCCCTCCCTCCACCCCAAAAATAATAATGATAAAAAACAAAAAAGGAGTTTTTTTTTTTTTGTTTTTTTTTTTGTTTTATTTCCTGCATCACCTTTCTTTCCTAAGGCACATTAAAGTCCTGACTTTCCAAGCTGAGGAACAACCTGCTGCGACCCAGACGCACAACAACAGCTCACGAGTCGTGTTATTGCCCTAACGATGAACTACATCCATAATAATGTGTTTATATTATAAAGATCATTTTATTCTGAGCGCAGAACGAGAGACACGAGAGATCACTGTTTGGGCCGCAAGGGTCAAATAACAGCAACTTACTCTTTATTGAGCCTGCGGATCTAAATGGAGGGTTTATTATAGTGACCTTCACTGCACTTTTCTAAATGAAGCTTGTATATTGTTTTGTTTTAATCTAGTATTTCATTAAGGGGACATCAAATTAATAATATTTTTCAGATCCAGCCTGTTTAGAGAAATTAAAACGTCCAATCTGAGCTGCCTCACCACGTATCTTTCCATATTTTTATTTTTCTAGCTTCATCTCAAATTAAGAAAATAAACTTTTGTTAAATGATAAAAATTGATTCAATAACTATGTGACATATTTGCATTTCCATCATATGGAACTCAATGGTAAATATTCACATTTTCTTTCCATTTAGGAAACTTAGATCTGAACCGACTTCACACCATATTCTCTTTCTGTGTGTTCATTCTGACAGTATAGTGGTGGTGGTGGTGGTGGTGGTGGTGGGGGGGGGGGGGGGGGGGGTCAACACAGCCTGCCTGTGTTTGAAGCATCTGTAAATGTTATTGTGTTTTCTTTTCAACATGGCCGCCGCCCCGGAACAGTCTCTCTCCCTCTCTCTCTCTCTCTCTCTCTCGCTGCATGATGAAACAAGAGTCTGTGTGGTGGTACGTGGACCAATCGCATCCAGATTTCACTCACGTATCAGATGACATAAACACGAAGAATATATATATATATATATTTTTTCTTTTTTCTTTTTTTTTTTGTTGTTGTTTGAAACGTCTGACTGTTCCCAGATCCCCATTCGGCCCCACATGATGAATCTTCATGGGTTATTGAGCTGCAGAGGATGCAGAGATCCCGACACGCTGTGAAGGACATGATTTGCAGATAATCGGGTTAAAATGGGGATGGGGGGTGGGGGTGGGTGGGGGGTTTCTTCCGTGAACCTTGTGCTTTTCTGTTGAGCGTCACAATGTGGTGGGCTGTCCGGCCGCTTGAAAGGAAAAAACAGAAAGACAAGGAAACCCAAATTTTTTTTTTTTTTTTTTTTTTACAAAATCACACTTGTATTCAGGGATTTTAATGTGATGGACATGAAGGTCTGAAAAAAAGGAAAACCTCTTAATTTGTGGATAAAAACTCCAGAGTCTCTTGATTTGATTTGGTGGTTTTCCTGATCTCCAGATGTTAACAGCTGCTCAGAGGTTATTTAAACATGAGCATGAACTTTTGCTTTTTTTGCAGTCAAGGTGAAAGGGGGACGGAAAGTCACAGTCATCCTCTCGCTAACTGCAACATCACCAGCCTCTCTTCCGCCTGATCCATCCCTCCACTCGGCACCGCCTCACCGTGTCTGACACGTCTTTATTAAAGCTGCTCTGGCAAAGGTTTTTATATTAAAATCTCCCTCGTCCTATCAGCCTCTCAGCAGGGCTGCAATAAAGGATGAAACCTTTGAAATACACCTTAAATGTATTAATCGTAAAACAGCGTCACGTTTACTTTGAAAACAATAAATCAAACAAACCTTTGTCCGTTTTTCTAACTGCTTCACGATGACTGGATTCACTGCGTTATTGAAAACTGCAGTTGTTCATTAAAAGTGAAATATGGCTTAACATTAGCAAACAATAAGGAACAATAACGCCTCATCCTTTTGCTAACGTTAGAGAATGATAAAACTCTCTTTATGAGCATTATGTAACAGGGAGGGCGTTGATTTATTTATGGTGGTTGTGTTTGTTTTTTGTTTTTTTTTGATTTCCTTGGAACGTGTTGACAGAACTTGACCACATTCAGAATTCAATCGGTTTTCTCTTTGATGGATGGATGGAAAGATTCGTACAGAGATGGCAGATAAAGAGACCAGCAAGAGAAACACAGGAGGATGAAGGGGTGAGGATGGGAGGGAGGGGTGAGGGTGGTGGTGGTGGTGGTGGGGGGGTACTCACAGCGGGAGCGGATGTAGCACTGGTGGCAGTTGAGGAGGCCGTTTCTAATTCGGACGTCCGTCCCCGTGGTCGTGTCGCCTAACTGTCCCTTACACACCCCACACTGAAGAGAGAGGAACAGAAGAGGCATTTTGATTAATATTAATGACTCATTAATTAGTCGTTATTACAGCTGAATATTAAAAGGATAAAGATGATGTTAATCTGTTTCTTTTTTTTCTCGTTTTTTGTCAACAAATACCATGAAACCCTTCCTGTGGCTCTCACTGGCTCCTATTGAAAAAAACCAAATCTTTAAAAACAAAAATTTCATCTTTTAAGAAAAAGATTCAGTCATCTTCCCTAAAAACAGCTGTGTCCTGTAGTGTTTAGTGAACGTAGCATTCAAACTTCTAAATCAAATCAAACACAGAATACGACTGAATCTTTGATGAAAGGAAGAACTTGAGGACGTTCATCCCTCTCTGTGTCGCCCACCTTAAAGCAGTGGATGTGGAAGTAGAGGCTGAGGGTCTCTATGATCATGGCCGCCCCTTTTCCCAGCGGCTGCCCACAGCTGGAGCACAGCTTCTTCCCACTGACGGACCTACAGGGGAGGGGAGGGAGAGCGATGGAAAACCTTTGATACGTGTAAAGTGCCGCTCTCCCCCGTTATTCCAGTTAAACCATGTCGACAGTGAATATTAGAAAAGCAACAAAGAGTTAATGTCAAACTGGAAAATTAATAAAGACCAGAAGAGGAAAATATTGTGTAACAACTGGCTGCAGAAAGTACTTTTATAATATAGGAAACAAGTGTGGTGATGAGTATTTACTGTATATATGGGGTATATTCCACATCCTCGCTCCTTCTGCTTATTTTGTCTATCAGCTCGTTACTCTGTGTCTTTACTGTATTTGTTTGTGTTTCTATTGATCAGGCTCCTTCTGTTCACTAATATTCATCAGGGTCAGTGTGTGTTCGCTCTCTGCACAGCTGACGTCATCGTGTGTTTACTGCTCCAGTGTTCCCATCGCTGAAACTGTTCTACACGTCTCTCTGCTGTGTGTCATTTTTTAATGTAATGCTTTAATCGACATCTGATCTTGAACTGTAGAAAAAAAAACCTTGAATTTCATGCATTTGCAGGAATGTTTACGAATGTGCTTCCTGTAAAATGAACGAATTAAAAACTATAAATAGACCTCTGCTCGGTTTTATTGTTGAGCTGAAACTCCAGGCGGGCTGGAGGCAGGTTGCAGTGGTTGCATGTTATGACATGGATGGAGAGATGTAGGCGGCAAAGCAGAAAATGACAATGCAGAAATGACCCCCTTCCCTCCCCTCTCCCCCCTCCCTCCCTCCCTCCCTCCATGTGGACTGTTTGTGATGCAGTACCTGTTGGGAGTTGGAGGCAGTGTGTCTGGAGTTGGGGAACATGCTGCAGGAGGCTTTGATGAGCTGCGGCTCATGTTATTATCAATGGGACCACTCCTGGAAATGGACAGCAACATGCAACATGATGATGACTCACGGATACAGCGACACCATTGGTTGCCAGAGTCAGACGTGAACCAATCCAGGCCTGGGCCACCGCCGCCAAAGCTACTCAACGGTGTTTGGCCAAAACCCAGCCACACTTTATTCTTTTAAGTGTGCAGAATATGATTGTAATGATAATGTCTGAAACACATTTATCTTGACATGCAGTAATACAGCTTTGCACTGTATGGTGGAGGAATGTGAGGGAGTATTACAGGTGCATGATGCCACCTNAAAAAACCTTGAATTTCATGCATTTGCAGGAATGTTTACGAATGTGCTTCCTGTAAAATGAACGAATTAAAAACTATAAATAGACCTCTGCTCGGTTTTATTGTTGAGCTGAAACTCCAGGCGGGCTGGAGGCAGGTTGCAGTGGTTGCATGTTATGACATGGATGGAGAGATGTAGGCGGCAAAGCAGAAAATGACAATGCAGAAATGACCCCCTTCCCTCCCCTCTCCCCCCTCCCTCCCTCCCTCCCTCCATGTGGACTGTTTGTGATGCAGTACCTGTTGGGAGTTGGAGGCAGTGTGTCTGGAGTTGGGGAACATGCTGCAGGAGGCTTTGATGAGCTGCGGCTCATGTTATTATCAATGGGACCACTCCTGGAAATGGACAGCAACATGCAACATGATGATGACTCACGGATACAGCGACACCATTGGTTGCCAGAGTCAGACGTGAACCAATCCAGGCCTGGGCCACCGCCGCCAAAGCTACTCAACGGTGTTTGGCCAAAACCCAGCCACACTTTATTCTTTTAAGTGTGCAGAATATGATTGTAATGATAATGTCTGAAACACATTTATCTTGACATGCAGTAATACAGCTTTGCACTGTATGGTGGAGGAATGTGAGGGAGTATTACAGGTGCATGATGCCACCTGCTGGCCAAACAAGTGAACTGGAGGTGCTGCCATTAGATCCACACTAATCAGAACTCTACTTGTTGCTATTCTAACCATCTGAAATCTGCTTTTGCACCTGGGATCAAATGTTAAGATGGCAAAAACAACATGGACACCAGGAAACAGAACAATATTTACAGCAAAAATGGTAACGACTCTCATGCACACAATATAAACGGCCTTTGCCAGATTTAAAAAGGACTGAACTCTGGTTTGAAGATAGAGCATCTTTGTCAAACTATCAAATCTTTGACTCATGGAGCTCTCTGTCTCTCTCTCTCTGTCTCTCTCTCTGTCTCTCTCTCTGTCTCTCTCTCTGTCTCTCTCTCTGTCTCTCTCTCTGTCTCTCTCTCTGTCTCACACACACACACACACACACACACACACACACACACACACACACACACACACACACACACACACACACACACACACACACACACACACACACACACACACCTCCTGTCTCCTGCAGGCCGGCTGGGCTTGTTGCTTTCTGCTGTGAGATCTTGTTGCTTCTTCACCGGAGTTGAGGATTTGGCCGACACCGCAGGAAGTTTCTGGCCGTTCTGCAAACTGTGAGCTGTGAGTGTTCCTGTCTGACTGCTGCTCTGACTCAACGAGCTGAGGATCACAGAAAGAAAACAAAAAAAGAAAGGAAAAGAATATACATCACATAGATTTTCTTTATTGAACCAATCCCATTCAGATCCATTTTTCCTCGGTGGGAAACAGAACTGAGATAAAAGTTCAAGACACAATAAAATTCTCTAACATCTCGTGAGACTCATTCTAAGTCACTGTTCGTTTTCCGCCTTGAGACGCCGTTCACCAACCTTCTTGCTGTCTTCATGCTGTCGTCAGCAGTGCTGATGTCACTAGTCCTGTCATTTTCCCTCCGTTTCGCCTCCACGCTCTCCGTGCTCCCCCTCTGCGCCATCCAATCAGAAACAAGAGTAACAAAGAGTTAGCTGAACAGCCAAACGTGGCCACTGAGCATTCGTCTAACAAAGCAACTATCCATAATCAATCGGTTACTCACCGACTGCCTCTCCAGAAGTTCCTGTTTACGTTCCCAGTCAGCCAGCGAACGGACGATGGTGTCCTGGGGCGCGGCGGTGGAGGACAGCTCCCCTCGGCTGGGGGAGGGCAGGGCTGAGGAGCGGGGAGTGAGAGGCGCCACAGTCTCCTCCAGTATCTTACGCTCCTGTTGTGATGGGGGAGTCGGGAGAGTTACCAACAATGTGCAACTGCACTCTCATGGGTTTTCTTTCAGACTGAAAAATACACAACTCACACATATCGCACATTTAACGTGTCTAAAATGATTTTTCATAAACACACACACACACACACACACACACACACACACACACACCTCCTCATGGTACTTCCTCTCCTCCTCGGCCACTTCCCTCTGCGCTTTCTCCCACTCCTCCTTCAGCTTCTCCTGCTCGCGCCGGTACTTCTCCTGTTACCATGGCAACAGACACATGACATACAGCATAGAGCCTCAACGCGGAGGAAGACCGAACTGTCTGCGGGTGGATGTTTTGGCAGGAAAAACAGAGACGATGCGCAGATATATCTGGCAGCAGAAAGGTTCTTTGAGTGGCTTCAGTCTTTTTCTGAATCAGTCGGTAAATAAAATTCTCTGCTGGTGAATCCTTCTTTAATTTAACCCGAGAGGGGACTGAGACCCGGGGGTCCTGCTGCAGTAACTGGTGATATGTCAGGGGTGTTCTCAGTGTGTTATCTGAATATGAGCCTTGAATTGGAGCCAATAAATGACAGGTAATTTGCTTTTCCTCTGTTATGGCTAAACACTTGCTCAGATCTGATTTGCTTGTTAGGGATAAAAAAGCAAACAGAAGAGACCAGACGCAGGCAGAGCAGACAAAGGCAAAAGCAGAGCATGCAGAGCCTGTTGAGCAAAGGGTTCCTACACAATTTTTCATTTCAAAAGTTGCCCCTAAAAATTTAAATTACATTTATGTTGTAACTTGATATACGCCGCAGTAGCTAGGAGACACGTCAGATCATTCTACACAAGCACAAACCCCATGAGACTAGTTTTTTAAAGTCTTTTTAGAGTTGTGTGGGAACCCCCCCCCCCAGAAAAAAAAGAAAGCCAAATTAAAGATAAAAGATCTAAAGTGAAAGCAACTTAGGCAAGACAGATGACAGACTGAGGTCGAAGCACACGGACAAACACAGAGTCAACCGGGGAGGTAACAAGCACATCGATGCACCAGACATTCATCCATTTCGGCGCATCTCATCTCAAAACAGTCCTGCAACGACCGCAGGAGAGAAATCTGTTCTCATCACTGTTGATCTCCAGATGTATTTATCAAGATGATACTGTAGGTTGAGTACAGTTCACCATGGATACGAATGAATCCATCAAAAATGTTTAGAGAGAGAGAGAGATATGTGGGACTTGAGATGCACCTCTTATTGGCTGAGGAGAGAGAGGGTGATTTGGGCAGCAGCAACAGCAGCAACCTTGGACAAAGTCCTTGTCTGTGTATGTGCATGAGATGGAGACGGGGGATAAAAACCAAACTAGAGGCTCTTCCTCTGCACAAAGTCGCCCTCTAGTGGTCAAAGTGCACACAGCAGTAGTCGGGATGTGGCTTCAGAGGGGAGGGGGGGGTATGCTCAATATAAAACAAATATGGAGGCAAGCTTTGCAAGTAGCAATGAAATGTGTGTTAATCCTTCTGACTGTAAGCTGAGCAAGTCACACAGAAGATGACTGTGCTGTTGCATGGTTTGAATTCACTGTCGGGGGTTTGGTCACCAGTGAAGCATCCCAGGCTTGAAGACACTTAGGTTGAATATAATGTTTTTATCTTTCAGTGGCTATATGTTGACATCCAGTTAGACCTGGTTAGGGCTGAGATACACAACCCCCCATTTACACCTGGTATTAAAATGTGATCCATATCCGCACACCTTATCTGGATAAGGAAAAAATGCAGGTCAATGCAAGTTTAAAATCTGACCGAGTTACTCAAGTGCAGGTTCTGCTCTAGGTGTAAATGCGAAGGCAAGATCAGATCATTGATTGTTTATTATCTGGATACAGATCACATTTTAATAACAGGTGTAAACGGGGTTATAGCCACTGAAACACTGTGATAGTTCTGATGTATCCTGGATGTTTAAAAACCTTCTCCATGAAACTTATCCCAGATATTTCTCACTGCAAATCAGCCAATCAGAATTTACTGGTTTTATACTGTGATGCTCGGATTATTCATCGACTCGTCTGTAGTTTTGTTAACCAGTCATCAGTGATCCCTGTCTGCCGTGGATACAACATGCAAATGACTTCAATCTAGAGTCACAAATTCAATACCGTGGTCTTGATGTATCCACTGAGATGCAGTGAAAACTTCAGGCCAATTAAGAGACTGGAGTTTTAATTATAGTCTAGATCACAAAGCCTATGTTCTACTATGTATTTCCCAGTGTATTATTTAAGCTAAATGATCAGCAGCACTTTGAAAAGATCTTTATCTTTAACAAAGGCACATCAGTCGTTTTCAAGTGTCAAAGACGTTGAGTTTTACACACTTTTTACAAACTGCTTATAATAAGTACCTCAGTTTTTATACTATTTGTTTGCTTTATATTTATTCATACTGACTGTGATGTGCCTACTTGACTGTAGTTATGTTTACTGTATGTCCCACTGGAGACACTTAATCTCATTGAACACTGTGCAGTGACAATAAAGGCATTGAATTGAACTGAATTGAATTAAAAACTCAAACAAGCCTAATGGAGGATGTAGCTGCTGGGCGCTAAAGAGCAAATAATTACGTCACACCTAAATTTAAGGTGGAAATAGGCTGATAAAGCTGCGCGTGCTGACGGGTAAACTTCAGCTATGTGTGTGAATAATACCCAGACAACACTGTAAAAAGTGGGAGGCCTCAACGTGTTCATTTAAGATGGAGGGGATGGAGAGGTTTACCTCGACCAATCATCTCTTTCTCTAGGACGAGTTTTTATCCTCAGTTGCTAAAATAGATGTTTGGTTTTTAGCTAAAAGTCAGTTCTGTGACGAACCCTCACAGTGCAGGTGCCTTGCTCTACCCACTGAGCTCCGTAGGGAATTGAACCGCTAACCTTGCAGACTCATGCGTCATGCTTTTTACCCTGTGAGGTAAACTGTGTACCTGCAGCATGCGCTCCTGCTCTTGCTGCCACCTTTCCTGACGCTTTCGCTCCTCATCCGGGTCCCAAGACCAGCGGTCACCCCGCCTGGCCTGGGGCAACACCGGCACTGACACCTGATAGACCCCGGGACACACGAACATACACACAAACCCACCCACACACACACACACACACACACACATACATACATACATACAACATGCACAAAAACACACACGTCACACGAATAATCATGCACCCACCCATGAGCCGGTCACACACACACACACACACAATCTCACCCAACCGTGAAGCCAGTGACAGATTGACATGGCCCCCAACACACACACACACCCACACCCACCCACACACACACACACACACATACACACACACACACACACACACACACACATACACATCAACACAAATCAACACCAATGTGCACACACATCCACCACAGGAGAAGAAGAAGGGAAGGGAGGAGACAGAAATAGTTGGTCTACCACAACAGCACTACTCCAATGCTAGCCAAAGGACTCCTACTAAGGAGAGAGAAGACAGAGAGAGAGAGAGATGAGCTCAAATGAAAAACGAAAGCAGTCTCGGCCGTCGTCTACAGCATCCTCATCTGGCATGCTACATCAACAGCTCCGTGTGTCCTGTGATACGTAGTCGAGCCCTGACACAGTCTGAGCCAAAGCTGCACTAAACAAATAAAACCTGATGAAATGATGATGACATTTTACTTACAAACCAACTTTACTGGAAAGTGAGACATGAAAACTAAATTCAGACTATACAGGATGTGAACACTGCTACAGAAAGTGTTAATGCAGAGGCTCATGTTCCTGTGTGAGAAACTCACACTTTTAAATCTTACCTGTGGAAATTTTTAAATTAGTTTTTCTTTCATCCTGATTTATTCATTTATTTTTAAACATTTTAAGTTAAACTAAACTACTGGTGCCCATGGTAACGCAGGAGGTGATAAGCCAGATGAGAAGCGGTAAAAAGGGCTTTTCAGTGAAATGATTTTACTCACGTTTCCACGGCGATCCTTTTCTGCCTCTTCTGAGGAGTAAGTGTGAGAGAAAGAAAAAAAAAGTTAGTTAAAACACCGTTTAAACAGACAGCTCGGACACAGGCGCTCAAACTACACGTCGCTTATGATGGGAGGGATTATTTATGGAAAGGAGAAAGTGCCAGGTGGAGGTCTGAGGACCTGAGGAGGAAAGATGCAGATGACAGAAAAAGAGACAGACCAGACCAGGAGGCAGAAAAGCAGTCCACCAAAAGCAACAAACTACATCTGGGATTCATCGATCAGACACAGCGTAGTCATCTCTTCATGCTCATTAATCTGTTTTGTATTCTGCTATAAACTTATGATCAGTTATAATAATATATAGATGTGATCAGGATGTTGAGGTTGGATTATTTCAAACTAAATTTTGTTGCTTTTGGTGGAAGAGCCAGAAAGAAGCATTATGCTAACGCTATCAAACAGTTGATGAGGATAATTCAACAAGTGAAAATTTGAATGTATGTGTAGATTTTAGTCACTTTCTCTCACATCACCTTTTAAGAAACTTCTTTAATCATAATTCTCATAAAACCAGACAGGCTGAGCATCTTCACCTTTCTTTTTACATAATGAATCGCAGCCAGTATTCACTCAAGTATCTGCTGCACAGATCTTTTCTTTCATCACTGATTACTGTGAAATCTTCTCTTCATTTTGTGCCATTCCTTTGTATTTCGACAAATCATGTTTAGTTTAATATGTTTTTTCCTGTGGCTGCTTCACGTCATCTGTTTCATTTTTATGATCTGGTTTTACGCTGTCGTATAATGTGCACATTAAAAACTACACTGAATTAAACAAGTGACCTACTTCACTGAAGAAAGGACCTCACAACAATTCATCCTAATCAACATGATGATACCAACATGAATCAAAATGAAGTTAGCTGTTTCACAGTCACAATTCACTGATGAGTTAGACCTGAAACAACTCTGCACTTGTTTCATTGTGGAAAACTGCAGCACAAAATGAGAAACTGCAAAACACATTTAAAATGGAGTTAGAACGTCACTGATCATCCACAGGACTCTGGAGATGAGTTAAAACGAGGGGGGAGGGATAGCACAACAGCTGTTGTGTAGCTCTTGCAGAAATGGCAGGGAGACCCTGTGCATTCACCACCGGGGGGGGCTCACCACGAGCTCCGCCGATAAATGTGAGGGTTTACCTGGTGGAGCGAAGAACTCCCAACGTAACTTAGGGTTGCTGGTTGCCAGCGGAGACCTGACACTGTTTGCAAACTCTAAAGCGAAATAAAAAAAAATATGTGGGTGGAAGGAAAAGAGGGAACGAGGGAAGGAAGGAAGGGAGGAAGGTAGGGAGGGAGGGAGGGAGGGATAGAAAGATGTCAAAATCAGGTGTTGGAATGGACATTGAGAGAATTAGAGAGGTCAAATTGGGGGAAGGGTTTCACAGTAACGCTCCAGTGTGGACTCTAAGAGGATAAGCAGTTTTTGGAGGTTGTAATTCAGATATAGTAAAAAGTCAGAGCATTTTCCACCAAACTGGAATTTCCAGACAATCCCAACATGAGAGCTAAAACATGGACGGTGAAGCGGGGCTGTGTGCGGGTTGTCAAAAATGGGCTGATCGGGGTCACAAATCAACGACAGCCCCTTTGACTCTGATTCTAACATCTAGCGGTTCAACAGCAAAACAGAAAGAGTGCAAAAAGTGAAAAACCCAGCAGGAGGATTCTGCTAATCCAACTCAGAAAACGAGGAGATGTATGGAAAAGAAGCTGCTGGCTCGGTTACTCGGCTGTGAGTAGTTCACTGACCTGCCGTCGTTTCCCGCGGCGGGTGATATCCAGACGATCCTGGTGCGGGTAAGCTCGGTACGTTCTCTCTTCTCCGTGACAGCTCCTGGGGAGTGGGGACAGTTGTCTGCAGGGAGATTCACAGATTAGATCAACGACGGGCGGGTGATGCGTGTTTTGGTGGCTGAGGTTTATATTAGTTCCGTCTTCACCTGTAAAGTCACCGGCTGACTTTGCTGCGTGCCGACGCCCGACTGGAGAAGACTGGAGATGCTTTGATCAGATGGTTCAGCCTTTTCTTGTTCTCGTTTGGCTTCTGAAAAACACACAGACAACACAACTTCATCACCGATGTTCAGCAAATCAAATGAAAAGTTAAAGACACTTTGCTTTGACATACACACGACCCGTAATGACAAGTCTGCGAGTAACCACAAGGTGTCAGCGTGCTGTTCAGACCTGCAGCTGGTGCTGGTTGAGCTGCAGCAGACTTTTTCTCCTCGGGAGCAGCTGCTGTCTGGACTCCAGCCTTCCCAAAGCTTTCCTCCGGCTTCTGCAGTTCCTGCAAAGGCCGCAAATTATTCCACATTTAGTCACCAGTGCATAAAACATGTAAAAAAGAAAAAAAAAAAGATTTCAGTTCAAGATAAACTTATTAAATAACTTCCACAGAGGAAAGGAATGTGTGTCTGGATGTAGTATTTTAGATACAGATTGTAGCCGTACTAAACAATGTATGCACATGAGGGCAGACAGGAAGTGGTTTGGGTTTGATATAAACAAAGCAGGGCTGTCTGCTGCTGTGACTCCAGAGAACTAATTTCATTTACAGAGAAACATAAGTAGGACACTGCAAGATATTACTGTGAGTCTGTGCTACAAAATCCATGACGGGTCCCAACGAATCACCGTTTGGCTACGAACTCGGCCTGGCTGTATCCTGTCAATAAAACTCCTGGTTGCACTTTATTTTGACAGGGAGTTTAGAGACTAAAGCTCAACTAATGTTCAACAATGTCAACAGTTAATTAACCATTTAATGGTTAGGCTCAGGGAAACTGTTAAACGCTCTCTGTCATCCTCACCGTTGGGAGCGAGGTGGGCCGACTCGGTGGCGTCGAATGCTCTGCGACTTTCTTCTCTTCTCTGACGTCCTCAGCCGCCGCTTCACTGGCGCCTCGTACCTCCTCCTTGGCCTTCGTCGACGCTGGGCTTCCTCCCGCGGGGGAGGCGTGTGGACTGTGTGCGGGTGACGCCGCTGAGGAGCGAGCGTCTACTGTGCTGTTACTGGTTTTGGAAGGGGACGCCTGGAAATGAGGAGGAGATTCCCTTCCTTGACTCTCAGGTGTGGTGGGAACGTCGTCGCTTCCTATGTTGCCGTTGATTCGAAGCAAACCGTCCGCCTGGATCAGAAGACGACACAGTTAACAGTGATAAATAATTTCACACAAGTCCAGACAATACTTAAATCAATAATATGACTGAAATCCATGAACGTTTCTATCTTTTTCCGTACACCAGTGAATATTTCCTGTCCTATATTTACCTGTTTCTGATATTTAAGCCTCTAGATTCTTTATTATTATTTGTGCAAAGGAGAACAACAACTATTTACTCCAGGAACAAAGTTCAGGCAACATATCTGCATCTATAAACGTGCAAGAAACTATCAAAACAAACAACAAAAAAAAAGCATTCACAGAATGTCAAAACAGGAAACTGCAGTTGCTTAATACTGTGTGTGAATGACATCAGAATCAGAATCAGCTTTATAAGTCAAGTATGTTTGTGCACACAAGGAATTTGACTGCGGTTACTAATGTCTTTCAATGTGCAAAGTACCAATAACCACATCCAGGGAGGAACACGTGGACTTAAGAGCAAAAACAAGGACGACAAAGCTGAGCAAAGAGAAATAAACAAACATGTGACTTGATATTGTGTGTGAACGATAAGTTAAAGATTCTGCACCTTAATTTTATGAAAAAATAAAACCACTAAAGCCCAATGAGAGCTCTCACTTGTGGTCATCACCGGCCTCTCGTCTCCGTTCGTTATCAGCTATTCATCCAGCTCACGACACCGTGCCGGCCTCTGCGACAAAGAGCCACTAACACATGTGTGAGGATCTCCTGGCGAGCCGTAACTTAAGACACAGCGGGTGAATGCAGCCTCTCAGTCCGGCCCCCCCCTCCGCCTCCGCCCTCCACCTTCTCATCCCTACCCCTCGCAGCTTGTGTGGGCCCGCTTTGTCTGCTGGGAGCCCACTTCACATTGAGAGGACCCTACTTGTCAACTTCTTAAGTCAATAGGGAACAGAGGGCTCCATTCAAAGCCGGGCTCCACTCAGACTCCTGACGAGACATTCCAGAAAAGCGCTCTGCTCCATTTGGTCTGATAATAACCCGCCCCTCCCTCTCCGCCACACCAAAACATAAGATCTCATTTTGAATATTTCCATTTGGAATTTTTTATTTTTTTTCCCCAGAAGAAAAAGGAAATGGATCCAGTTGAGAGTACTTTGAGCTAAATTGAAACATTACATGCTTCTTCTTGTGTTTTCCCAGAAACCGGTCGGCTCGTCACCATGGCGGCTCTGTGGCATTCTCATGTAAATGCCAAGAGAGCCGGAGGGGAATTCACCCACCGGCCGGCACGGAGGGCAGCCAGCACTGGGAAGTAACCGCATGCAAAGTGGTCAAGACCTCAAACATGTGCACTGCAGATCCCTGGCGGTCACACTCACCGAAGCTCAATCATTTAATTCATCTAATAAGAAACTTAGGTTAAAATAGGTCGCATTTCACCATGACAACCAGGCATCTGAAAACACATGGCTGTAATCCCAGATGTTCTCACAGCGCCACATGCTTTCATTGTTATTGTTTGGTGAAGTGATCTCATAATGCTCATATTGTGAGCGGGTTACTCTGTGCCTCAGGGTCAAACTCACCTTGCTGGGCCGCGGTTCAGCCGCTGTGGATCGGGTCTCAAAGTAAGGCTTGGGTGTCAGCAAAGGCACCGGTTTGGGCGACAGGGCTCGGGTGGATGGCGGCTCGGACGAGCGGGAGCGAATCTGAGGCCGCTGGTGCGAGGACAAGTCTTTGGGAAACTCCTCGATCCGCGCCTCCAGCGTGGACGTGAACTTTGGAGCCGGAGCCGACTGCTGGCGCAGATACCTCAGAGGCCCATTGGGGTCCACGTCGAAGGGGTCTGGGGTCGTCGGGGAGGCGGCGAGGGAGAGAGGGAAGGGCGAGCAGGGGAAGGAGGGGTCAGCGGAGATGCTGCGATCCAGCAGCTTCGGCAGCTGCAGGCGTTCCAGGACCGCTTCACTGATGGAGAAACGCTGGGCGTAGCGCTGGAGGATGACTGACGCCTCCTCCGGGGATCTGGCTCTCCTGTACGCGTCTCGCAGCTCCTCCTCACGGCGCTCCCTAGTAGACACGAGGAGAGGAGGTGCAGAAAGGATAAAACTGTCAAATGTGAAACAACTAATATAATACAGTTTGATTTGCTACTCTCTATTAGCAGTCGATATGAAACTGGATTCAGCCTGTATGCACTTAATATTTATTATGTTTGATTTAAACACTTCTAGAAATAATACAGTCAATATCACGGTCCAAAGGACATGAGCTTAATACCCACAGGAAATAACCAGGTGGATAAAATATGCAGAAACAGCCACCGTGGACAAAGAAACAGCGGTTGAAAAGTAATTCTTGCTTAGGAAGGTTCCCAACTGAGTGAAATGACCCGGAAGTATCTAAGTGTCAGCCACGATAAGAGCTGATCCAATTCTCTCAAGGATAAGGAAATGAGCTTTTAGTGCTTCCTATCTTATCTCCTTTAGCATAAGAAACACTGAGCCTTCCTTTACGAAAGGAAAGAAGAAAATGCCGTCCCACAATTCCTTGCTGCACCAACGTTTAAAACAATTGCACAATTGTCGTTTTACAGCAGCAGACCCACATAAATGTAGAAACAACAGAGCTCCTATACGTTTGTGACACGTGCCAAAACTTATGGAAATAACTCACTGCACTAAAAAAAATATTTTCTCTACTTAACAAATGTATATAAAAGGATATAAAACTATATATGGCCTATTTATGCCTAAATATAATTCATCCTGGCCTGTTACTCAGTTGAATTATTATTGTAACGGCTCAACTGTGTCTATTTCTTTCATGTTATCTTATTTCAACATATCGATCGTGTTTGTTTTTGTCTGTGGTGAGGAAAGCAGTAGCCTGCAAATCGTCCGTGTTATAAATAAAGTTGGTTTAAAAAAGAAGAAGTGATCGTGGTTCCCTTATGAATTCTCCTTCCCCTCATGACGTTTTGCGTCGAGGTCGAGGAAAAGGAGAGGAGATTATTTTGACTTTTCGACGGCAGCCATTAAATCCAAAGAGACGAACTGATTCACCAGCCAAGTGAGAAGCGCAGCGCAATATTACCAAGAAGTCACAAGATATCATCATAAAATCAACCAGTAAAAAAACATTACGCACTTACCCATCACAAGAACAGATCTATTATTTATACTTCTACTATTACTCATGTAGATATTCTCTGTCTTCTCCTGTTTCTCTGTGGGAGACCTACTTAACCGAGCTCCAGGAGGAGTCGCTGTCACCTTCGTGCCTGCTAACAGGAGTGAGACCTCCTTTTCCTCGACTCTAATGAGTCTAGTTCTGCACATGCACGTCTGGCTTTTTAGTGGAATACAACTTATGACAAACACTGTTACTGTGCGTTTCACATACTTGTCCTCCACTATCTCTCTGTACGTCTTGATGCTTCTCCTCCTGTGGGAGGGGCAGGTGTCTCCCGACATCAGCCGCTCCATCATCTTCCTCTCCTCCTCCTTCTTGATCAGATCCTGGGAAATACTCCTCCTTCGATTTTTCCATCGGGCCAGGTCCTGACAGGCACAAGCAGATTTCAAGTGTGTCAGTTCCAAATGAAGCAAAGCAAGAGGGTTTGGTTGAGCAGCGACGTGAGACCTGGAGCGCTGCTGGGGCCCTAGAAAAACTGATTTAAGTGGTTTAACTGGGGCAGAGGAAGATATTACTGGAGTTAGTGCTTCGGCCTGCAGGCGCTGAAAACCACAGCATATAACTGATCAGCTCCTCACACAGTGGAGACAAGAAATACAAACTGTGCAGATCAGACACAAACCTCATGGGATTTAAAAAACTCACTCCAGCAAAAAATATATGAGAAAAAAACAAACAAAAAAAAACATCTTAGTCCAAAATAAACAAATGCAAACGGAGGCAAAAGAAAAAAGAAGAGTGGTGTAAAGTCGGACAAATGTGAGACACTCACGTCCTGCCAGTGATCCTCCTCTTCCTTCATCCTGTTGTACTGATTGTGCATCAGTTCATGACGCACCTGACTGTGGGGCTGCAAGATGGTATCCTCTTCTCCACGCATGTCGATCATACTCACACTCCTGGAGAGAGAGAGGGAGGGAGGGAGGGAGGGAGGGAGAGAGAGAGAGAGAGAGAGGCAAAGAATATGGATGATGAAAAACATGATGTTTATTTTTAAAAGTGAATTAGTCAAGTTAGGTTTTTTAGTTTCTTATGTCTTCATATCGCTGCTGCTGCTGCTAGTCATTCATAATCAGTCAATCAAAACTGCAAGTTCAGTGCAGTGTGTTTGTATGTTGGCCTCTGCTTCATACAGTCACACTGTCACCCCAACCTTTTCCAAGACTCAGCAGTGGTTAAACAGGTTAGTTCATGTCAACAAAACACTGATAAAAATAATCCTCCCTAGAGGTGACACTCCACTCAAAATCCACATTTATATCCAAGAGTATCAAACACAACACATCATTCACAAAAGTATTTTGTAGCAGTCCATCATAAGGAAAAGAGACAAGATAAAATGTGACTTTATAAGATGAATAAAAAACTGTGCGTCTTCAAAGATGACCTCTTATCACCCAAGAGGCATGACTAAGATTTCAGAACCAACACAACATCCCGCCCGTCTTCCCCTCCGACCACATCAAACAGCATTTCTCCCTCCGAGTTATTCCTCCTTTAGTTTGTTCCTTTTGAAACGATCACATTTTGTTTCATGTCACATTCCAACAATTGCTTCAACAGGAAAATGCATCAGATAAAACATGTCGGCCTTTTGAAAACATCAGCTGCAGGTAACTGTTGTGAAGCTTTTAGTAAACATTTCGATGCGAGCGCGTGAGATGCGGCGACCGGTCTATTATTCATTCAGGCAAAAAGCTGGTTACAGAAGGTTCACACTGATCTTTTGTTTCGGTCAGTAATGTTAAAGCATCCGTCTTTTCAGATTCTACAAACACAGACGGGAAAGCGCAGCCTCACTGTTAGGAGCATGCAGCTGGATTCATCACAGAGTTAAGCCGTTTTATTCTCGTTGAAACAATTCCCCTGCTCATAAAGTCATGAGTGTAATAACTGCTCATGTTTAAAGACAAACTTACAATTACAGTTTTCACAGTCAGATGTTTTATGGAGCCTGCTGGTCACTGCGTGGACCAAAGACACTTGTAGCAGGAGAGTGTTTTCAACCTGGGAGATGACTGACATCGTATTTCATTGTAAAAAGTTTTGTGCAGTCGTGAAGTTGCAGGTGTAATTTGTACACTCTGAAGTGCATGTGCCGATACAATACTAAAAACCTGATTGATATCCTTGCATTCGAGTCATCTCCTGGTCGTGAATCCTCTCTCCGGCTTCAGGAAAAGCTGCACCTTTTTTTTTTTTTTTTTTTTTGCATCAGCTTGTAGCAGCAGAGGAGATCACCATGATGGTTTCATGGTCATGTGTGTTTCATAAGGTAAAGAGGTGAGAATGGATGAGAAGATGATTGTGTTACATGAGACATGCAGCTGGCAGAAGCACTGAGGTGACGTCAGAGCAGCGTAGTTTACTAAGTCCTCTGAGTGATGGATTGTTGCCAGCCAAAAAGTCAAAAAAGCATGTCCACCGAATTTACAGAAAACATATTTTCATGGTGTTTCGTGTTTTGTGAAGGGGGGGCACTGTTGATACTGCTAAAGCACCAAATTAAACTTGTTATTTTATATTTTTCCTGAGAGATGCAAGTAGGAAAAATCTGCTTAATTGGGAGACATTTTTATTGTCCATGTAAAGAAAACTTTTTGAAGAGATCATGTTGTAACAAATGTAGTGATGACTGTATTTACTTTGACCTACAGCTCTATGAAATCTGCATAAATTACTGTAGAATTAATATGGATCATTTTTATGAATGAATTTATCTCATACAACTCAACACTTTTGCCTGAAGATGATTTGTGCTGGAGCTGCTACGTCTAAAACACAAATACGAGTATCAATTATTGACATTCAAAAGAAGATTTCAGTATCATATGAGAGGGTAAAAGGTTAAAGTTTTTTTTTTTTTAGGTTGGCAAATGTATGAAACACTCTTGTAATTATTCTGCTATTAAGAAATTCTCAACATAAAGATATTATAAACTGGCTTAATAATGGCTAAACCTTTAAACCTTAAACAACGTCAGTATGTGAAGTTCTTTAAATGACTTCAACCGTTTGGCAGCTTTTTCTCCACTTGCATAAATAAAAAAGAAAATCCAATTTGAACAGTCAGTGAATGAATAAATGACTTATTGAGTGCGGTTTGTTGTGTAGTGCGGAGCAGCGTGGTGCCAGGCAGCTGAGCCTCTGAGTGCTTCAAAAGACAACTTACTGTGAGTCATCTGACACACTATCTGTGTGGCTGAATCTACAGAGGGCAGAGAGCATGGAGAGAGAGAGAGAGCACAATCACAAATGAACACAGGTACATTCAAGAGAGAAACTCATCATCCACTCGTGAATATTAAAACACAGAGATGGGATATTTGCTTTGTAGCTAGTGGGTTAACATTTGTGTGTTGTGATCGTGAGGCAGTTATGACAGTTTAAATACAGATTACGCACCAGGTAGGGTTGATTAACAGTGTTTTAGATAAACGAGTGTGTCTTGGGGGTTTGTGTGGATGCACAGATGTATTTGTCAGCTCCTGGGTTTCATGATAAACCTCAAACCAGGCACAAGGGGGCAGTCTCATCCAAAAACACAGCCAGAGGACAACAGAAGACAAATTTACTGCAGCACTGCAAACACAACGCTCTGCTGCCGTACAACAGATGCACACAGCATTGACCTTAGCATATTATTAAACGTATTAAAAGTAAGCACATGCATCTCTTATTAGACAGCACGAGAGCAACATCAAGGCCGTGGCTCTTTCTCTCTTTCTGTCTGTGACCGCCACTTGTAGGTTTGGCCTTAACCACAAAGGTCTTCACACACTTCTCTTTTTATTTTTTTTTATGGAGCCGCCTCTGTGATGTTGGAGGGGTGTGAGAGTAACTGTGGCCTGTGGCTGCTCGCCACAAGAGAAAAAGGAGACTAAATTAAGAGAAGACTCTGTAAATCAAAAGCAGAGAGACTGCTTTCAAAGATGGCTATTTGCCACATGGTACGTTGTAGTAATCCGCCATATGTTTCTTTGTAGGGAGATGTCTGCCTGTGATACACTGCGGTTTACCAGTTTCATTATTTATTTTGTTGTGATACAGGGAACTTGTGATTGCTTAATGATGGACCAATTGACTTCATGTATGTTTAGATATGTACATAATGTTTTTTTTGTGATATTTTGGTTCAAATTGGATCAAATTCAATTCAGCATCAGCAGGAGTTGTTCCCTTGTCAGGTCTCCTTAAGAGATCAAAGATTTCCAGCTCAGGTCATGCAAAGTTAATCCATGTTCTCAAACTTTTTTTTTTTTCCCTCCAAATTTCTCAAAACCAAAACAAAACAAAAAAAGAAGAAATTTGAAAGAAAAAGAGTTTCCATGCACTCTGTACATTAACAAAAGATTTTTTATCAATTTGCATTCATGTTAAAAAATCTCGTGCGATCTTTAGGTAGTTAATTCATCCATTACTGTCTGAGGTCAAGGTCACATGCTGAGATAAGTATTGAAAAGGATCATGGGAAAAGTAGATCCCGTTAGTTACACGTTGAATTGTTGTAGTTCATTAAAATGTGGTGTAGTTGCTGGACGGAGCTCACGTTGCTGGAAGACCGCTGTCCAACCAGGAGGTCCCTCCCTGCGGGTCGTCACTTTCGCTCAGTGCCCTGCCCTTTCGCCGGCCTGTACCGGCTGTTTCTTTTGAAGTGGTTGCCATGGCAGCAGGCACGGGAAGAAAATGGGAGGGACTCTGGGTGGCGATGCGTTTAGGAGAGGTCAGCGTTCGACGGGCCCGCTTCTCCTCCTGCTCCGCATCTGCCGCGAACGGCGCACCAGCGACCGCCTCCTCCCGCTCTGCTGGAGGTGGTTGTCTCCCGGCCGCGTTGGCGGGAGCCGATGCAACCGCTGAGGCTGCCGTGGCGTTTCCTGCTAGAGGCGTCGAATGGTGGAAGAGTTCCTCTGAGCACGAGCGAGCTGGAGTACTGCAGAGAGCAAAGCAAACTAAAACGTACTGCCGCCTGGTTATCATCCTACATCATCAGACAGCATTCCTCTCGGCGAGCCTACTGAACTTTATTTTTTGAAGACAGTAAATCTGAGAAAATAACACAACATGGTCACAGATCCATTCATAGCAGACTGGATGTGAAAACAGATCCGAGGCAAAGCAAAATGCACTGTTGTTTGTCACCCTGTGATGAACAGCTACTTTCTGGGAGGCTTATTATTGGACTGTAAATTCCCAGAGTGCGCGGTGGGGAGAGAGAGACTGGCCAGCTGCCGGCCTCAGTCCCAGCCTGCTCAGGGTCAGGGAAGGAAGAAGGCCTCATTTCCTTACATCCTGAGGGTGGGTCGCATGTTCATGTTCCCTGCCAGTGTGAGTGTGAGTGTGTTTATGTGTGTGTGGACGCAGTTTTTTTTCCACCACTAGTTTTGCAGGAAAGGTCAAGTGCAAATTAAAAGGTTACTGGAGGGCTATCAATTATGCTTTCTTGGATCCTGCTTGTTCTATTTCTTGATTTAGATTTTTATCATTTCAAAAATACATAATTGTAGATATTTTTCTTCTACTCAGCCAAATCTCTGGTTGAACTAATGAGCAATATTTTCCTTTCCAAATGTTAAGACGACTGCTGGCATTTCTCCTCAAGATAAGAAACACAGTTAACAGCTAATACACAAACCACCGCAGAGCTGGATGCGAGCTCCACTCTTCCATCCAAACAAACTGAAACAAACATCTCAGCATGTTTTGCTCACGAAAAGGATGTTACAACAACAACTTTCCCGATACAGCTCAAAACACAGATATGTCGGTGTGTAGAGGTGGCAACACTAAAACACACAAACTCCTGCCTCTGTTTTTCCTCTGGAAAAATGCAAGCTGTTACTAAAGAAGCTCCTATCAAAGCCCTTATAAACATAGAAATCCCCCTTCTTCCTTGGAACGCAGCAACACACACAAGTCTGATTTCTACCAAGGATTCTTTTCACTCCCTTGAAACGCTGACAATCCAATCAATGCTGTAACATCGGTGCCAGAAAATGCTGGAAACTGGGGGTGTGACTGTAATAACTCCTCAAACAGGCCTGTGAATGAAGCGTCTGGCTTGACGAGGAAATAACACAGGATAAGGCAGGATTGTGAAATAACAAAACTGACATTTTTTGTCTAACGCTGGACTTCTGAGCTGTAAAATATACGACAGCATTGTGTCTTGACAGCTCATAATCCTCACCTTGTTACCTGACAGCGCCTGTAAAATGTGCGGCACTGCGTCAGGCCTGCTGGGTAAAGACCTCGCGTTCCTCTTGCTAACTCACTGTTCACTCACTCGGGATAAAAGCGGCAGTGGAAACGATGATCAGGTAACGGCAGCGCCCAAAAGAGCGAAGCGGCCGGATGGAAAAGACCTGCTATTTTCTACCACAGAAACAGTCGTGATGAAAACTGTTCACACTGAAGTCAGTGGATTATCCTCCCTGATGGGAACATTTGTTTTGGGACAGACGTGCAAGCCGGAGTCTGAGAGGCAGTGATGCAGCGGAACCACAGATTTCGTCTTTTTCTTCCTTGTCAAAACCTGGTGCCTACATTACCCACAATGCAACTTCAACACCAACAGTTTTCTTGGAGCATCGGGTGTGTTAGCAGCTAATGTAGCCTCAAACCATTAGCCTCAAGCAGAGAAGAGGAGCAGCTAAAGAGATGTACTTAGCTCACGTCTTTCTAACTGGACAATCCCAGATTTATTTTTTTTATTCTCAGACTCTTTTGCCTCATGTGACATCATCATTAGACACAGCACTGCATCACTCTGGAGCCACAAAAGGCTTATTTTTCACTTATTAAGTAGAACTTCTTGATGTGTAAAATTGATTTACTTTCCCCTTCGGAAGCAACAAGCAAAAATTCAAAAACATTATCAACTATTTCTCATTAGAAAAACATAAACTGGTAATTTAAAATTCTACAAGACTCTAGGATCAGCTTTTAGATTTGGGCAGATTTACAGGAACTACGAATGAGACATGATTATAAAAAGCTCAGTAGAACAAGGGAACTGGGCCGATGACTTCAGGTACAGAGAAAAAAAAAAACATGAATTAAGGTGAAGACCTTTGCTCAGAGGTGACCGTCAGGTGAGTTACAGTCTCCGTGGGGGACTCTGCATGGGGCGGGGGGAGGCTACAGGGCAGAGGCTCACTGCTCCTCCTCATGCTCGCTGAGTGGGTCTCAATGCAAGGTCTGGATGCAGTCTCCTCCCCCTCCTCCTCCTCCTCCTCCTCCTCCTCCTCCTCCTCCTCAACACTCTGATGCTCCTGCTGAATCTGTGTCTGGGGTTCAAGGGGCGGGGTGGGGGATGGACTTGGGGCGTCTAAGCTAGGGATCTCATTTGGACTGTTACGTCACCCATTCACACACACACACACACGCGCGCACACACACACACACACACACAAAGTGCACGGGGAAGGAAGATGTGATTGCATTGCAGCAACAATGCATTAGTAACAGTGACATGAGGATAATCACAAGATGTTTGAAAACACACAAATGTGGTGACGGATGAACGGGTTCACATGAGAGGGAAAAGGAAGATAAAAGGGGGGAAAACGAAATAAAGACACAAAGATGAAGTGAAGGAAGGAGATGGAGGAGGAGAAAAAAAAAAAGGAAAACAATAAATGCAAAATCAATTAAAACATGTGATGATTTGATGTAGCATAACATGATGAGATGAATTTAACAACAGGGGAAATGACAGATTGGCAGCACACACAGACGCAACACACTTACAGTACACACTCCCCTACCGTACGTCCACCTACTTTCAGGAACTTTTAAGACCGATCGCACTGCAGATAATTAATATATTCAATCTCCTGCTGCTGTCCCTCAATAGATTATATACTCCTAACACTCCCTCACACCACTAACACAACATCTGATCAAAGCACATCGTGTGATCTACTCAACTCCTACAGTGAGATCCACAGACAATGAAAAGCTTAATTCATCATCCCAGAGCGCTCACACGTTGACGCGCCAGACTAATAAATGTCAATAAAACCTTCAGCCTTTAATCTGCCTCATTTTTTTTTTTTGTCCATGTAGCATATTTCACACTTTTGCTTCAAAATCAGAGTCCGAGCATATGAGAAACGCACATCTGGCCTCCATCAGCCGCTCCCATCTGTACAATGCTGGACAGAGAAAAATAATCAGCAGCTGAAAGGTTTCTCTCCACACATCTGCAACTTGACACAAGTGACACTTACTCTTGCAAAATTCTCAAAAAAACAAAAAACAAAAAAACAAAACACAAAATCAAATCAATCCGTGAGGATGTTGCTAGGAATTACAACAGTGAATAATAAACAACATATGATATAATCGTTCTGTTCGGTATTGTCATGCTCATTTCCCGTCTATCTTGAACTTCTCTTGCTAATTCAAACATAAAACATGCAGGATGGAGACGACATCATAACATACTGTATAGTTACAGGCAGAAATGTGGATTTTCTCTGCCAGGAAAGTTTTATAACAAGCTTGAATTTTAAAGGTTTTTTTTCCGCAGCAATTCAACATCAGGCTGAAACAAGTTCATGGTTGTGAAAACCTGTACTGCTCGTTAAGCTAGTCGCTCGACTCACTCGGTTATCAAATGTGAAATATGTGACAACAAACACATGTCGGAGAGCAGGTTTTGTTCTAAGATGGAATATTTGCTCTAAAGCAATTAGAAACATTTTAAATCTTATATTCAAGCCTATGAAAAACCCGGTGGTGAAGTGTGTCTTTGTTATTCTCTAAGCATTCACATATTTTCACTGTAATAAAACTGTAGTGTAGAGCTCAGTTGCACAGGACAACATTCAATCATCTTCTCTCTAAGTTAGCAGCATTAGCACATAAACTGTATAAACAGTTCGTCTGACTGAATAACCAAAGTAACCCACAAAAGCTTCACTCTGCCATTTTTAAGTTTCTTGTTACGGTCACACTCACCTGAAAGGTCTGTCTCCACCTATAGGTGACGTGGCAGTACTCCAGCTCTTGCGTCCTCCCTCCTCTTTGTCGCCTTTCTTTTTGCGGAGCGGCGTGGGTAGATATCCACTCTGGTTGCTCTTGTTGGGGAGGTACTGGTTAAAGGGCATGGCAGTTCGCGGCTCGCTGACGGACGTCCGCCGCGCCAACATGTCATCCTTACGGATGTCTGGCATCTTCCTGTGGGGGGGACCGTCGGACTCTGAGTCGCTGCCACGGCCTGTTCAGAGGAGGAGATGGGGGAATGAAGGAGTTCGTTAACGGTGTTGTGGAGCTTTCAGGTTCAGGTTTGCAGGTGTACTTCAAAACACAGGCTGAACTACAACACAATAAGCTCTCTTTAGAAAAGTACAGCAGCCATTTTTTAAAAACAATATTATTATTATTCAAGAGACAGTGACAAGTAAGAGCTTCTTTTCATTACTCAGGGATGCACTGAAGGATGAACTAATTCCAGTTAGACAGAGGTTTCATTTCTCTATGCCATGATAAGGGTCACTGACTGAAGGCTTATTCAATATACGTGAAATTACTTTTAAAAATATCAAGGAGGCAGTGCAACTTAATAGGAGCCACTGCCGCCTGAGCATTGATTTCCAGTAGCTCGATGCTACGAAGATCAATCTGTGATTATTGGAAAACTCCTTAACTCAAGAAGATGCAGCATTAGGAATAATCAGCAGATTCATAACAGATTCAAACTGTAACAAAGATTTATTAGACATCAAATCACTTTGCAATTCTATATACTTAATATATTTTCCCACTTAAATGCAGATAAGCTATACTGTGATTCAACGTCTGCATTTATGATGAAGCATGTGAAGGCGACAGTGTTTCTATTACTTTCTGAATGATTATTTGTTTTAAAAAACGACCGTGATTCCACTTTAAGCAGAGAGCAAGAAACACCCAGGGCTGCTGAGTCATTGTTAGAGAGAGACTGAGATCAAATGGGAAAGAGAGAGAGAGAGAGAGAGAGAGAGTCAGAATAAATCCAAAAATAAGCAGAGCAGAGAAACAACTGATTGAGGAGTCTCGTGGATACCTCAGATTTCTTATCTCTAAAATATAGTATCGCCTAAAATCTACAGAATCCATCCCCAAGCTGTTACCTCATACCGACCTATAAAACATTATATGCTGTGCATTCCAGTGGCTGAACATAAATCAACCTCGAGCAGGTTGACGGCCTGTTTTTATGAAACAAAGCAAGTATCATAAATCATCAGAAAAATTTGCATTGTGCAGCTCGTGCCGACTAAATTCTAGCCTACAGTTTTCGGAAGAATTCACTTAGGATGCCACCGTGTCTGTGTGAATCGGTGCTTTTAATGTGAGCGGCAACACCTGGCTTTGCAGAAGTGCATCGCTCAAGGACTTTCCCCCGCTCTGCGTCTTAAATTCCTCTGCAGGATCTGATCCATGAGAGCACGTACACAAGAGAGAAGATCAGGCTCACTGCGGAAGTCACATGTTTACGATTCCAGTGATCTACCATTAACATACCAGTCATTTCCACCTTGAGTTAGCCCCCCCCACCTCCTTTTTTTTTGTTGCTAATTCTACTCCAGATTCAAACAGATGAAAACGGATACCTGCAGCCTCGCTTTACCCAAGGTCTCCCAAAAATTCCTCTCCAAGATGTTCAGCACATGTGCTACTGGAGTTCCCCTCCCTTCGGGTGCATGTGTACTCAATCTATGACCCTTGAATTTATGACTCAATGTATATATTTTCCAAGTATAAACCCCTCAATTTCAACCAGATGAAACCCCCCCTACCCCCCCCCTTTGGTTCTGAACAGATACATGTGGAAGCGACCGCAGCTATCAGTGGAAACAAACGTCACTTCTTCAACCTCTTTCTATGAATAGACTTCCTTCTTTTTTTTTTTTTAATGTGGTCTAAAAGATTGACAGATCGGGGTCCAAAAAGAGGCCTTGAGGTATCTGCACTTCCAACAATGAATGGTTCAATTATGACTCTTAACCCATCAATTGGAACCATGAGCGACTCTACCATCCAAGTCTATCCATCTTTAAGGAACAACATATGTCTTTACAGGGGTGATGTCGTCTCTGCACATATGGTAACACTGACGCTTCAGGGAACGTTTATCGTGGGTCAGTGCCACACTGTACCAGAGCTCCACAGAGTCTTATTCACATCAATAATCATCAACGTGCTACAGGAGAAGTAAAAGCCGCGGAGTCCGGTTCAATATGTTCTACTGTAACTGAAAACCTGGATCGGGAAAGACAAATGACGAGTGACAGTGATTCCCGCTAAATTTCTAACGGCATTAAAGCGAAATAAATGATGAGAAAGCAAGAAAATCTGAACGTGTCACACAGATGTGCCGTTTCCTAATCAGGGTGAAGAGCAAAAGTCTGCAGGAGTCACATTCTGAAATACTGATCTGGACTATAAGACTAAGTGTCAGCGACACGACTGCTACAAGTTCACTGTAATGCTTAATAATGGTAACTGTGCATGTGTGCATGGGGCTGTCAGAGCAACACTGTGTATCTGAACAGGTTGGAGGGCTTTTGAATCTTTCCAGAATCAAACATGCAAGAGCAAAATTTTAAGTGATGGACTTCACAGCATGTCTGTGCGTTATTATGTAAGCTGCAAATGTTAGCATGCCCCGGCTAACTAGCGTACTATCTAGAGTAGTGACCTAGCACTCCATAGCAAAGGGCCACATCATTAACTAACTATAAACCGGAGGTTGAAAAATCTTTCTTCACGACAGGAACTTCAGCTGAGTGGAAGCCAATCCACGATGCTACAACATCAGATCGCTAGTTAACGTTAGCGGCTCTTTAGCTATTGGATTTGAGCAACTTTAGACACCTGAGATAATGTCACGTTTGCCACACAGATTGTTTAACCCTCATCCTTAAAGCCTGTTCTCCTGTACTAAGGAAAAAACACTGTTTAAAGCATAAATCTAACCACTGCTGTTATATTGTGTCTATAATAAGCATCCAAACGGGGTTATGTTGGAATTAACATTTTAATTAATGCTACATTTTATTTGCAATACTAGGGCTAACTATAGCTGCTCTGCAAAACACAATGCTGCAGACAGCTGCTACACGGATGATCCAACGTAGGAGGATGTTGACTTTTTTGTGTTAATTAGCAACCTGGCTACAACTGATAACATCTGCTAGCATGAGCTGTCGTTTCAGCTGACAAAATCCACGACTAACGCCCGACGATGATCATCTCCGGTGGATGGAAATGTTGCTCTGTTGAATTAAATTTACTGGGAGCTAAAAAATGATGCTGTGGTTTACTGTGTGAAATCAAAAATATAACTTTTGAGCGGTAGGCTAAATCTGCTAACAAACGGTTACAAAGTGGAACAGGGTCAGTTAATTTATCACTTAGAGACACAGAACTTAGATGTGTTCACTATTATTAGATGTATGTGTGTCTTTTTTTAAACATACTGATGTTTGATATGAGTTATGTCCTCGAGCAGATAGCGTATGTCAGATATGAGCTTTAGAAAAACCTGAACTCGACCTCAGAGCTATACGTTCTACTAAACATCTCAATTACATCATGTCAGCACCAGAAGCACAAAGTGCCTCATTTATCAGAACTGTAACCACCTACAAACCCGGTCCAAACAAAAGAACGTCGCCGATATTGAATTTCTTTCAGATATTGAATTAAACTCTTTTCCATGTCCCCTAATCACTGTCAGGGTGAAGTCTGAGTTTACGGGTCTGAATAATGAAAGGGCTTTGTCTAAAGGTCAGGGCAGGGAAAACAGGGCAGAGTTCAGTTTGTGTGCATGTTAATAAATGGATACTCTTGTTCAGAGTCCCCCCTCTGATTGGCTGATAACTGCATTGTTATCCTTGTTCTCGGTTCTCTCATTTGTGCCTCCTGGGTCTGATCTGAACACTGATATTATGAGAACCACAATAACGGCAAAGGGTTTAGAAACACGATCAGAAAAAATGTCGGAGTAAATATGCAGGTTTTTGACCCGAGTAACCTCTCTCTTCTCCTGAATGTGATGGAGCAACAAAAGGCGCCTCTGACAGCAGGAAATTCAACAAAAAACTTCCACCTTTATTATGTTTGTATCATCAATCCATAATGTTCAAAGCTTTCCTTTGTAAAAATGTGTTATTTTAGTTTTTAGTGAGCCCACGTCTCCAACCTGCCTCCTCATTTTTTCATCAGTTAACAATTTCTTTTTAAACTTTGGTTACTTTGGATCAGCTGTGGGTGTATTTGAATACAAGCTGCGTGACAAATGTGACTAATCGGTTGTGGGTTAGCCACGTTGGTGGAGAGAGATTAATTGTGGGATTGGTCGTACAGTAAAAGCAAAAGGGTTTTAAATAATGTCTTGTGGGCAGCTTTTGCATCCCGGTCTAGTGAGAGTGTGGAAGGAGGAAACGGTGTCTTTCACAATCCTTTGATGGATTTCACCTTGATCAAGTTTAATGGATTCACAGGGTCCGATACCAAAATGTACAGTAAGTGATGGCAGACTAAGGCTAAGACTCTTTGTTCTTAGCAGTAGATTTTGCACTAAAGAGGAATTTTCTACCAACAACAGCTCGGGTTTTTTTGGACGGTCCGAGTGTTGGTGACAGCAGCTCGGGGCTTTGGAGACGGCAGTTTCCTTTGCACTTCCCTCAAAACAAAAACACAGTCAGGCAGGATGCTTGGCCTCGCTCTGTATTTTCCCCACATGCAGCTCGGAGATGAAACATACATTGCAGTTTGCGATGACTGCTCTAACCTTTTATAGGCCGCCATTAAAAATTTAAAAGGGTCAAATTCAAATGCAGTGAAGCAATCAACGGCTCTTTCAGTGACAGCCAGTGTATTTTTAACCCTGTTTACGGCTTCAGCACGCAGCGTGAAACTGCTTCACAGCTGTTTTGCAGTTCATGTTTGTTTTGAAAAACTTAATATTGTGTAAGACTGTGAGGCTGCCATGTTGGATGCATTAAATTACATATGTTAATATGTGGTTACCTACACAAAGACGTTTTATAGGCTGATAAAGCATTGTATAAAGATTATTTACATGCTCTCAGATGTTTATGTTTTCTTTTCTTGTTGGTTTTAGTATCTGTACTTCTCTTACTGTGCTATCCACCAGCATAGACTAGTAAAGTGCATCTATTTCTGAATCCTAAAGCAGATACAAGCGCCAAAAATACACCAAAAAACTGAGGGAACTGAGGATGTTGAGGGAAACATAGAGAAGAAAGTGTAGAATCAAAGTGAGAAATACATAACTGCATCTCGTATAAACCTTGCTGGAAGAATTAAGAGTAGCTGCCAAGTGCACAGAGTCTGGTTCCATGAGAGGCAGGTAAAATCAATCGTACATTAATTTCCTCGTGAGCTACTTGACATCTAAAAGTATGTTCAAGGAAAAAAAAAAAAATCTACATTTCTGACTCAGGAGTTCCCTCTCTCTCTGTCTCTCTCTCTACACTTTTCATTTGATGAGATAACCTGCCAAGTACCAACTTCCTTATTATGACAGTGAGGATTCCTTTGTTCTCAAACTGTAAGCTGGCAGTTTCATTATCGCTGACGGATCAGTCAAGTGTCAGATCAAAAACCGCTAAAAGCCTCCATTCACGCAACCACACCTCTTTCTCTTCCTCTTCTAAGCCAACGTATGACGACGCTTAATCTCTTCATCTCTCTCTCTCTCTCGTGCCGTCACTCATCTCACTCCACACTTCAGCAGAGCCGTCAAACAGACGCAGCTCAGGACATCGGGCTCAAAACACTCAGCACAGAGACACCGTTGTCGTTTGGTTGTCAACGGCAGGACAGGAATTCCCCAGTGAAACGTGTCACAAGTTGCAACGAGACGGCACGCTTGGACAGGCACGGCGGCTGCGGCCCCCTTTCACTCACATACTGTATATTAACACAGAAACCCACACTGGTGCAGAAGTAGATAAAGATGACAGTAGATTAAAAACAGAACTGCTGCAACTTAGAATCGTGGAGGAAAAAATTTAGATTCAGGGAATAAAATGAGAGGAAAAGGGTGGAGAGGAGGATTGATTCATTGTCTAAAGGAGGAGGGAAAGTTATGTAATAAATATTTTAAATGAGAAATATTTCAATCTTGAGTTCAAGTTAATCTACAAGCATTATCTCCTGTTTTTCTTTCTTTCTTGAAATATATTTTCTGAAACGTTTCCACTGCACAGCACCTTGTCACCCATGTTTCCAAAGGTGCTCTATAAATAAAGTTTACTTTACTCCTTGAGAAAAACACTGAAGCTTGACCTCTGACCTCCCGGTGACAGTTCAATTCAAAACGATCAATGAATCATATTTTTATTTAATGATACTGTATTTTTAACAGCCTCTAAGACGCATAAATTAAATCGGTAAATGCGACCAACGGTAAGAGATATAACTCTGGCCACATTTTTACAGTTAGTTGAATGAAAGCAGGTGAAGGGCAGGTGTGGTTTGCCCAAAGTAAAAAAAAACAAAACATTTTAATATCAGTACAGTTGATCTTAATTAACATTTATAATTCAATGTGAAGCATTTATTCTCAAACAGAGTTACCACTGAGCAGGTTCAGGGTTCAAACTTCAGCTAAAAGGCTCCAGTTTTTCACTCCTCTCACAGGTCACAGATCTGATGTGTGGATAACAGATCATTACATGAGACTGCAACGTTTCATCTGATCAAAAACAAATGGACATGTGGTAATAAATCAGATCCTTTTTGCATGTGACGACTTTTATCACTTGGATCGGAGCTGGTCGGTTTTTCCGTGATAACAAATGAATCTAATGTCTAAAGTTTTACGTCCTGTCATTGGATGTCATCCTGCTGGAGCCATGTGTTAACATTACATTACATAACTGAAATGTGTTTGAAACGAGAACAGATGTGACAGCATTTGTTATCGTAACTGGACTTTTTTGGGTTTTTTTTAACACTGAGAGACAGGTGATCCTTGAGCTCATCGGGACGGTTTTCAACAACATACCTGACATGACAAAAAAAAAAATGTAAAGCAGTTTTGAATGAAGACAGGCTGCCCAGCACAGGCTTCCCTACAGCAGCACCACAGGCACAAACCACCTCTTTTACAGTCCATGTACCACCGTGTCTATCCACTGTACTGAAAACACCGGCTGTGCTGAACTTCTCTCCTTCCACAGAACATATGGCGGTGGTTATAATGAAACAATGACCATAGATTGACTTCAAAACAGCACTGAGATCATTCACGTTATCCTTTTCAAAACAGCCTTTGACTAACTCTGGGCGTTGTCCTGCGAAAACACGGGCAGCAGAACAACAGGCTTCACTACAGTAGCACTAGCAGGACAATGCAGCTCATTTATCTATATACTGTATCTGTACACCACGATCGACACGAACAAAACAGCCAGTACTGAATTACTTCCCCTCCTCAAGACAAATGGCTGTGACTAAAATGACACAATGGCTATTGAACAGATTTAACCTGCAACCTTTAATTTGACGGGTGGTCACTCCATCCAGTCTCACACTTTCACGATAAATCAAAACTAGCATTGACAGATGTTCACCGTGAATATGAGGAAGGTAAAGAGTGGACTACTAACTACCATCGCTGCTGCCGCGGGCGACCAGGACGTCTGGCGACGGGGTTTGTCGTGAGCGTGAGCCGAAGGAGTCCAGGCTGTCGAACGAGTCCTCGCGGCCGTGGCGTGGGGGGGAGAGAGAGTCGCTGCGCTCTGAGTCCCAGCAGTCGATGTAGCCACTGTCCCGGATGCTGCGTTTAGGGCTCTCTGCCTCCTCCGCCTCCTAAACATTTACACACACACACACACACACACACACACACACACACACACACACACACACACACACACACAGGTTACAGAAGATGCACAGAGGTCAGGTGTGTGAAATGCATGTAAAAGAAAAGAGACATAACATTTGGTGTAAATCAAAGTATCCAAATATTGAGCATAATCCACTCATCAGTTGTTACTTACTGTAACTGTAAGTCTTTAAACTTGTACATTCACATCCACCACAAACGCATCACTGTAACTCTGCAGTTCTCCCACGTCCATCTATCCATCAACCTCTGCGTTTTCTCATCTTTTCTTCTGCCTACATCCCTCTTCATCACTCTCTCTTCACCTCGGCGACCCCTCCCTTTGTCCGTCTGCAGTTGAAACATGTCTGTGCAGCTAATGGAAGGTGGAGAAAGGCCTTTCCTGTCTACCGAAAAGATTTCCTGTTCCTGACCCCAGACCCGTCTCTTATTAAACTCCCAACCCCCCCCCCTCTGACAAAGTCTTCATTATGCTTTCAAGTCGTCTCTGCCGCCGTAAAGTTTCTGTGTGATTTTTCTCTTAGTTCAATATCGGTGAAGTAATAACACTGCACAGTTTAGGGTGCACTGGTCAGACTGGTGGACGGGTGTAAACGTGTCCCTTAAAATCTGATAATTGAGGTTCAATTAAGATGCAGCGTTCTGCGAGTTAGACCAAACCTTAACCAAGCTGTTGCTTTGTCGCCTTTACCTACAACCTACACATTACCTTTTGGGTTTTGTTCACTCAATTTGCACCAAAAGAAAACCCCTCTGATATTCCTGGTTTTATCTAGCTGCCATTAATAGTCAGTAAGACTGTTACTGATGCACTTATCTTGAGCTATTTACAACAAGACAGGAGATACAAGTGCAGCTGAGCCACATCCACCTGCTTCTTGCTTTTCAATCAAAGTTCCAGCTTCCATTTAATAAGCATTGGATGTGAATAGGGAAGTGCCAATTTGTTCTTCAATTTGTTCACCTGATGTGATTTTCAAATCCCATTTTTATTATCAATGTCGTTTTTTTGTGTGCGTCATGGAAACGTGGCTTTGTTTTGGTCGGCTGCAACGTGTGAACATCTGGGAAAGTGACTGCGCAGAGTTGGCAGTAATCCCTCAGTTTTATACAACAGCATAAGGATGTCACATTGTGGAATAAATTGCATGAGGGTGACATCATGGTTATGAGTGGTTGTCAGTGTGCGTGTGTGTGTGTGTGTGTGTGTGTGTGTGTGTCTTTGGGGCTAGCTAATGCTAACTTTTCTGTCCCTTGGGTGTGTGAAGGTCAAAGATTAATGAAACTGCAGCCCGACTGAACAGAGGTCATCACTGGATCTTGGGTGGGGTGTATTATACGCTGCCTGAGATGATTTCACTCACACATTAACAAACATTCAGTGCACTGCACAACAAATTATTCAGTAGAAAACATTGCGTCTCGCTCACATTTGATAACTACTGCAGGGACCAAACCTGTGACCTTCTGCACACAACAAAGGATAGACGTCTCTCTACCACTTACACTGTACTCCCAACCAAGCTATGTGACTTTACAAACCTTTCGCATCTGTGACAGCAGGCCCTCAAACTCTTTCAGGTCCAGCGTGGGCCCGTTGTAGGAGGTACAGCCGTTGGCAGCGCGACCCAACCAGTAGATGGTGATTAAAACCTGAAAGAGAGTCAGACGTCACGATAAAAGGAGATTAGACTTTGTTTGTGAAGAAAATTTAATTCAAAGTAAAAGCAGGGTATAAGTGAAAGCACGAGTCATGCTCACTTATACTCACTCTTTTACAGCATAACAGGCTCAACTTGTGTGTAAATAGTGACGCAAACCATATTTAATGTCCCGATTCATTAAAAATAAAAAAGATAATACATCCAGTACAACTTGAATTATCACCCAACTGTGCGTATAGATGTAATCTTATTCATGGAGAACAGTTTAGGTATTTAAAACAACAACACAGCAACAACACCTCTGCAGTCAAAACTCTTCATATTCATACCATGGATATAAACACGTCAGGTGTCTGGAGCTTAGTTCAAATGAGTCTTTTCCACACAATGAGTAAAAGTGAATAACACTACACTTCTAAATAGGTAAATTGGCAACAAATAACATGTTGTCTGCTCATGGTTGTATTGAAAGGAGGTAAAAGAGCATGAGGTAAACACTTGTAAAACCATTCTCCACTCTGTTCATTTCACTTTTCCCCACCAACAACCTGTTTCCTGGTGGTCACCATCCAGCCTCTTCCAAAGAAGTTACACATTGGTCAAGACTGAGTCATTGTTATGACCCTGAACACGGCAACAGGCACTTCTCCTTCCAACGCTGAACCTCTCAGGGACCAAAGTGATTTATATTTGCCAGGTTAGCTCCCTCGGCCCTGAGTGCATATATGACCCGATCGATCTCATCTCCTTCCAGCGCAGTAACCCTGTAAAAATCTGCAGCTGAAGAAAGTTGTACGTCTTTGACTCTTGCTTGTAACCTAACGTCCTGAAATACTGCTGAATGTGACTGAGGAACTAAATCTTTCTGCATTCACTATGACTCCCTCAGGCCAAAGCAGCTAAAATGCAGAATGTACAGATTGGCTGTAGCAACGGGGGGTGTCACACGGAGCTGCACCTTTAGCACTGCTGGCAAAGTGTTCTCAGCTATATTTACTGTGTCCATGTCAACCGGCACTCCACGGGGATTGCTTTGATAAGAAAGCTCAGCGTGGCTTAATGTGTTTATTTCAGTCGTACTGTCAGTGCAAACAGCCTCTGTTGTTCAAACACACTTGGGAGGAAGAGCTAAAGAACTGGCCTGCTGATCAGAAATATTTGATACTGTCATGATTTCTGAAGGGAAATTCATCTTTTATCCCAAACACAGGGTCAGCCTCACTGGGCTGCAACTCTACAGCAAGGAGGGATCAGGTGTCTTGCACAAAGACACTTCAAAAAATGAATTCAGCTGGGATCAAACCAGAACTCTATTCAAACACATCAGGATATACATTTATAGCTCTGGCATTCATCTTTATGTAAATGACCTGCATTAAATTCCACTCATATACAAGTTCTGTGCTAAAGCAATACTGCACCTGCTGTGGTTATGGTTCATTATCTGCACATTTCAGCAGAGTATATCACTTCTGTGTCACCAGCACTATGAACACATCCGTGCCAGCTCCCAATCGGAAGTGGGTCATCACCAAATGTGTTTCAGTTGCTTACTAACTGTGCTTTAAACGCATCCATATTGATCCCTGCTGCGCAAACACAGCGGGAAACATGCCACAATCGTGCTCACGTGATTTAGACATGCAACATTAAACCTGCAACAAACCACCGTACAAAAACCGAAACTTGGACACAAGCACTGAGCTACGGTAGCTCAAAGAAAACATGCCAGCTGAGTTTTGACTGATGGAAATATAAACGATGGGCCTGACAGTGAAGTGATGCACAGCGTCACACTCGCTTTGCCTCTTCGGTTTCAGCAGCTGCCCGCTCTGGCAGATGTGGAAAGACCTGTCAAAGAGGTTCCACCTAGGAACAACAATCATCTCTTTGTTTCATGTGCAAACACAAGGACATGAATAGACCCAAAAATGCACCTACAGTGTAAACTAATACACACAAGCCCATGCATGCACACATTTAAGCACCTGTCACGGTCCACAGACCTGTAGCGGTATATATAGATACATATTCCCCATACCAATCATCACTGTACACACATGCACAAGCTTCCCTGCATACTCCCACCTGCACCTGCTAAACCATCCAGCAGTATTCCACCCATTCATGCAATACCGTCTCTTTTCCTTCTGAGTCCCATCTGTTTGCGAAACAACACCTGTACCACCACATCAGCAAATTCCACTTGGTGCAGTTCCTTCACCTCTCAACATGTGACGTGCAGCAGAGACAGCTGCTCTCAAATCCTACAGTCCTCAGCCTGAGTCTGCAGGGTAGCTCCATGGTGTAGCAGCATGTCGTAGTAGCCAGGTCCTGGCTAAAGCAAAGGCTGCTGGGTGTTTGTAGGCCGCTTTGCTATTGCTGCAAACGCTGGATAATGTGGCTGAGAGTCCCTGTATGTAGTCAGCTAAATGAGCTAGCAGCCCAGGCCAGCTCTGCAGCTTGACACATTAACTTGTGCAGTGCACAGCAGCATCACACAGAGGCAGAGAGGGAGAGACCAGTACTGCTTTGACTGCAGAGGGGGCAGGGCTAGCATTGTGTGTTGTACTTCTTAAAGCAGCATTATTATAAAAGAGATGTTGAAGTGCCGAAGACACCAGACAACAACAGCGTCGCAAAAGTGAACGATCAAACGACTGAATTGAATATGTACAGCCGGAAAAGACAGATATCAAAAACAGGTTCAGTACTAAGACAGGATAGATATAAAGTAGAGCAGTCTGAAAACTTAAAGCTGGAATAGGTTGAGACAGTGCAGACAGAATAAATGCTGTTCTATAGAAACAACACAGAGCTGCTGCAGGGTGGACAGACATGGTAGAGCTGGAACAGGCACGATCACAGCAGCTGAAATAGTGACAACAGTGACAACCACAGCACAAAGAGAAACACTGGGCTATAATAACAGCTTCCATTCAAACGTACATTTAGCACACAAACAAACACACAAACCGTCCCACTGTTATCCACAAGTATCACTTACATTCTTGAGTTTTCGGCTGCAGTCACTTCCCCTGGAGACACAGAGAGAGAGAGAGAGAGAGAGGGAGGGAGATAGTGAGACTTGTGTTATTTAATGAAATATGTTACATAAATATAACTGCAGACTCACAAACTCCCACATATCCACGCAAAACAGCCGCAAAAGCAAAACTTATTGAAAATATATAGGAACCTGCAGCCCACACAGGGAGAACTAACAGACTCTACCCTCTCCACACCATCTCTGGCTTGGTGATGTACTTATTTCATATTTCCAGCACTTATGTTTAATGACAACATTCAGTAGGAGGATATATGTGTTAGATCCTCTGGATCAAAGAGCGGGGGGGGGGGGGGGGGGGGGGTGGGCCTCTCTAGACCTGCTATTTAATACCGATGTTCCTCATTCACAAAGAAATCTCTTTTTTCATCAGAGCATCAGAGGAGACCGACGTCACAGCTGCGGCCAGATGGTTTTGGCTGCCAAGTGATCTCTGGGAGGTGCAGCGCACAAACACCGCAGCAGCGGCCACTTAGCGCCACAAATGCTGCCAAAATGAAAAGTTGAGGATCTTTGCGGATCACCACTTGAAGCTATAAATGGGAAGTGGAATGAAGACGTTGTAAAACTGACCCCAGCACACACTTGTGTTGTGAAAATAGACACTTCTAGGCTAAGAAAGGGAGACGACAACATACGAGACCTGGATTTTTTCACAGTCTGAGGAAGAACAGCCAGAGAGTCACACTTTTCAAAATAAAGTGAAGTGATGTGTCATTCCTTGGCTGTGAAAAACAGTGATACACAAAACAAATCGCATAACGAAGCACGATACATAATGTTGCTATGATGCTTAAATGCTAATAATTAAATAATGCAACAACCACTCCCTTAAAAAACGAGACAAGGTTAAAGTTTTAAAAGTGTTGTTAAGACAGAGTTGAAGGCAACAAGGACCTGTCAGATGAATGTCATCCTCATGTCGCAGCCTGGATTATGACAAAAAAAACAAAAAAACTTTAAATCTGTGCTCAGACTGATTGGGTTAAAAGCTCTGCAATATAACTAAGTGCTTGCCCAACACCATCCTTACAGGATACCAATAAATTATCATAATTTCATCATTTAATTGAAAAGGAGATAAGCCAGGATGGGAGAGGGATGTTGTCCAGTCCTAGTTGTGAGGAAAGTGGCTGAAGCTGATCAATCATCAATCATCCGATTAATATGAATAGCAGGTCTTCTTATATTTAAATCCTATTCATATTGCTTTGCGTTTCTTCCATACCCTGTTTTAATGCATGTTTATGTTATATGTCCAGCATTTTGAATCATCTTCCTGCTGAAAGGGGCTCTACAAAGAAACTTGAATTCATTTATATGTATACACACAGTATATATATATATATATGTGTATAGATCATGAGGCTGTTTCCAGAGCCTACGGGTCTCAAAGCCCAACTCACTCAACATACAGGTGAAACCCAAATTGCAGTTGCATGAGTTTTCCATGACAGCAGTGACCTGAGAAAGAAAGGAGTGTACGGAGAGGTGGAGAAGAGCGAGGTGAAAGTAGCTGGAGGGAATGATGTGTAAACCCTCCCCCTCCTCCTCCTCCTCCTCCTCCTCCCTCCTCATCCTCCTCTCTTTGTCAGCTGACTAAATAAACACTGAGACAGGTAGCTTTTCTCTGCCGTCACCTTGTAGGAGAAAACCCGAAGGACAAACGCAACAGATTCCACAAGATATTAGATCATATGTAGGAGCCCAGCCAGTGCAAACATCTGTCATCTGCCATTTTCTTTTTCTGAGTGTTTTGTTTCTATCAGTGTCAGTCCCATTGTTCGAATTTCTTTCAAACTGTATCAGTGATGAACAGAACAATTATTATTAAAAGATCTACAATCTCAAAACTACTGTCATAACCATAATAATTTCAGAGATAACATATAATAGTTTTAAGTATTGTTCTCACTCTTTTTATTAACTCCTGTTACAAACTATATAATTAAACATAATATTTAGTTTAAATATATTGCTCAAAATAAAATGAACAATGAATTTAAAACTTGTGTTTTTCTCACTGTATTCTTCCTCATTTCCTGTTTGACTTCCTTTAATTTAATGCTTGAAGCAAGGTTTTATCAATAAAAAAGTGCAATTTATCACAACAAAAATGTATTTGCTGAATAAATAACGATGAAGGCTTGACACAAGCAGTTAGTTTGTTATTAAAAAACTGTATTAAAACAAAACAAAATCTGGCCTTGGAGGTCCTGGTGAATAAAAACCTCCCAGAAATGTCCAGCCTTGGCTCCATGTTGTGTGACGGTGGGTAATCTGTTGTTACTGTGAATATTACCACAGATGATGGTTAAGATGAAAAGCATGAAATATGTTCCAGTACTTGCTGACAGTAAAGAGTAATAGAGAGTAAGAGTAATAACAACTCAATACCAATCAAATCCTGAAGGAACTGTTTGTTCTAGTGGACTTACTTTTCTGTTTTTTTATCATATTTATTTTACCCAAATGTGAGTGAAACACATTTAATGCGTGTGTTTTTGCAGCATTTCAAAACTTTGTGTAAAAATTTGCTTGACGTCTGAATAGAAACAGTCGCCCTCTCCTCTCATCTCCTGTCCTCTCCTCTGGCAAACTGTCACTTATCTTGGAAATAGATCTGTTTCCATCAACATGCAGAGAGACAGGAGATATTTGAGGCCTGAGCTCATAGTGTACCAGGAGCTGCCTGTCTCTACACCTCCCTCTCCGATGCTGTTTCCTAGATGAATAAACACCTGTCCACAGGAGAGACCCGGGGGGTGGAGAAGTACCAAAAGTGTTTCCAGTCACGGGTACGAGCTCCAAGAAAGCAGCATCCTGTGCGACAGAGGGTTACATAACCACTGGAAATAGCACAGATCCACTTAAACAATGAGACTAATGTTTACTATCAGGTTTGTGATTGCCTGCTTATTCCAGATATTTTGGAACCAATGCAACTAACCTAAAGCTTTGCATATTTACATTTTCAAATAACATAAATTAAGCTTGTCACTTTTTTTATTTGTTATTAAAACTATTCACATTTGGGGAAAAAATTAATATTCAATTATCTGCTTTGACTTAAAATTTAAAAGAGGCTATTTGTAAGTTTTCTCTGTTGCCTGTCTTTATAATACAAGAGGTTTTAGTACGTCCTCTGAGCAGCGCTACGTCTTCACGGCAGATTGGTGGCTACAGAGTCGCTATCAGAAAGTGACGAGACGGGTCAGGGCTAGCTGGTTAGCGTGCTAACTTCAGTGGAAGAAAAGACGTGATAGAAACAAGAGGTAACGTTGGCGTTTCTTTCCACCTCTGGAGACAGCTGTTGGTGAGTAAAGGAATCAAGTTTGATGCTGAACTCACAACATCTCTTCTAGTACATAAACAGCTGTTAATGCTAATGTTAGCTATGTAGCAAAACTTACAATTGGCCCCTTTTAAAAGAAAGGCAGAGGAGGCACAACAGTGCGAGCATAAACTGAGAGACTGAACTTAGCAGCATTTGCCAGTAGAAAATTATAGTGTTTTATCAGCTACTTCATTGTCCTAACCTTCAGTTAATGCCAGTGCACTCACGCAGCTAAATCCCTGCTGCTTGTATGTCTTTCACTACGCAGTTATATAAATAAGGATTATAAGTAACCGGTGTATTCTGAATGAAAAGTCAATCCCACCCCTTCTTGTCTTCCTCATAGAAAAGGATTATTATTGAAGAAATGTAAACAAGGCATGACACGTGTCCCCATTTAAACTGAAGACGACTCAATGCAGCAGAATGTTTACTGTAAACCTGCACACATGCTCAGAAACAAAGGCTACTTAAACACTTGAGCGTGCACACACACACACACACACACACACACACACACACACACACACACACACACACACATACATACACAGAATGAGTCAAGTGGCTCC